GCCGAATGGTATGTCAGGAGCCGTTTCAGGGTGGACCTCGACTGCGTAAGATTCCCTTGCCGAAGCATTATGGGGACCTGTCAGAAAGCCTTGATTTAATGTTTCAGTTTCTTCACTTCAGGAGGCCGAACTCACATTCGGAGGGTATCATTTCGACCCTGGGGATGCTTCAGTTTTCGCCTTCCGGCTCCTGAAATAGAATCCCCGGTGTAGGACTCCACCGTGCCTCCTCCGAACTAATTAAATGGCTAAGGCATTGGGTGAATTGGGTGTAGTGTAGGGGGTGTTGTTTTAAGAAACCTTTAAAATAGGGGTGGTCCCTTTGGCGGAGGAAGGTTTCTTAGGCGGGCCTTTCTTCTCTAGACATACTAGGGTTGTCCGCCCAGGGGAACACCGTAGTTAGCCCTACTCCGGAAGCACTGGAGCACGTGCAACCGCATGGTCGGGAAGTTTGACTTCCGCTACCAGAAGACGCCCAGGCACAGAGGCTTCAACCTGAAATTGAACCTGGTTGGCCTCTCGCTGGAGGATGCCCTTGGCAGAAGGCCTCCATGGATCCGTTCGTGGATCCTTGTAATCTGAGGTGCTGGCGGCCGGGCTGCGAGCCACAACTTCGTCTACTTAGCAGCTGCCGACACCAATTCCGAGTGTTCGGCTGCGGCGTTCATCGCTGCACCCAGTCCTGGCGGACTCCACATCGACATCGACCCGGCGGAGATCTCTCTCTCTCTCTCTCTTTCTCTCTCTCTCTCTCTCTCTCTCTCTCTCTCTCTCTCTCTCTCTCTCTCTCTCTCTCTCTCTCTCTCTCTTATCCTACACCCCTGAACCCTAAACCCGATTAATATTAGCATAAGTAAGAAGCAAGAGCGCAAACATCATTAATACAATGCACTTACAATAGTTCGTTCAGGGGCTGGGCTTCTTTCCCGGGCTTTCGAGTTTGGTTTCGGGGTCTTTGGGACTGATCTTGAAGCTCTGTTTCAGTAATTTAATAATAATTCCGGTTTAGGGTTTAGGGTTTAGGGTATGGGCACTCCCCCCCTAAGTCGCCCACTCGCAAGACCCATAAGAGCCGCAAGATGCATCCAAGCAATAATTGCAGGCATAATAATGTAATAATGTAATTTACTCGAAAGTTGCAACCGAAACAAGGCCAGTAAGAATCAGTTAAGATTCTCCTTCTTTGCTCAAATCTGCAAATCTGAGTCTTTGGAAGTAAAGGAGTGGCACCCTCGTAGCCAGACCTTCCGTAAGTTCCTCTGCACAGATTCAGCACAAAAGCAAACCCTAAACTAGCTAGTAAACGACGATTATTATTACTACTAGTACTTAATAACTAGTGCTACTACTACGACGACGACTACTACTCCTGACTGTCTTGAAGTAACGAATGAATGCATATTTCATAATAACAATTTTTAACACAGTAAGCTTCCGGGTCTTGCATATCACCACGCTTGCAGGCGGAGACTCCTGCGAGAGTTTCCTGCCCTGCTGATTACACTGGTCTGGCCAGAGTCCTCCTGCCGCGAACCCAGAGTGCGACCGGTCACAACCGCATGCACGCACAATTTATTAATAAACTATGTAAGTTGTATAGTAGCGCCCACCCACATACGCAAACGTAAACATACATGCGCGCTTGCGCCTGTACGCATCTGCGAGCATAGAGACGGTGTGCGGATGCTTATTCAAGTCAATACTTGAAATGATTAACTCACCTGCGCTGGATCGATGCTCGCAGCTTTTGCGATTGTCCTTGGTTTCCACATTCTGATGTATAGTAAGCCAAACCAATCCAATCAGACACAGTCAGACACTAACAGGTGCCGGTTCCACCGGTCTATCCTGCAAGAGACCTACGTCGCTTGCAAGGTCTGCACGCCTCCTGTTGGATTGTTTCGGCCAGATTCAGAAACGACACTGCAGGGAAGCCTGTTTGTTTGCGATGAGGTTGTGAGAGATGAGAAATTGCACCGGCCCAGCCGTCATCACTGCCGGTGACATGTCCGGCTCGATAGCAAGTAAGAGAAGCCTTGAAGCATCTCAGTCTTGGATAATTTTGTTTCCTGCTGGCCGAGCTTGCGCAGCCATGGCCCCGAAGAAGAGCTGCATCCAGTCAAAAACCAAGGCAGTGCAAGAGAAGGCGCTTTCGAAGGAGAAGAAGCTGAAAGTGTTTTGTCTGCAAGCAAGGCGTCTACACTTCAACCTTCCGACCCCCCTTAACTTTAAACATATGATCCCATCAATCAAGCTAATCACATGTCCGAATATTTCTTCGTGAACTGAGGACAAGGCGGAGGAAGCCTTGCGCAAAGAGCAGAAAGCGAATCTTGAAGCGCAAGAGAACAGACTGGTCACGATGAGGCAGGAGCTCGATGCGTGGGTTGCCCTACGGCCGAAAGCACTGGAACACATCCATCGGGGCTTCAGTCGCTGAGAATTTTAGTTCTTCGTTTTTTTGGGTATGTTTGGGAAAGAAAAATAGTACTGTGAAGCTTTAGCGAGATAGGTTCTTTAAATTCAGTTGAACTTGAGTGAAATGACTGACTGTGATTCATTGTCTTTAGAGCGCACGTGGCATAAAGGTATGGGAAGCTTTGATTCGCTGGACTCCGGCAAGAGCGTGGGCGACGACGACTCGTCGGAGCAGAAGCTGAAGCCCTACATGAACAAGTTCCGATTGCTTGGGCAAGAGCAAACGCGACCGCTGCTTTGCAAGATGATTCCCAAAGTGATGTCGTTCTGGGACAAACAGCAGAAGAACTTCAGATGCAAGATAGAGCGTGCTTTCCTGGCGACCCTGCTCGCGTAGCTTGGCTGTGAATCAGTAGTAGTACATGTAAAACAATCTTTCATTCAACTCTTCTTTGCCTCTGCCGAAGCAAGAAAAGTGCAAAACACCTCACTCGCCGTAGGTTCATCACTCACTGCGACGTCAACAGCGCGTTGCCGAGCAAGAGCATGGTCGCGCTTGAGGACTTCATGATGACGCGCTTCACAGACTACGGCAGCCGGCTAGAAACCTGGGAGCCACGGGGGCCAGAGACGACCTTCCAGGAGCTACTCGTTTAACCCGCCTAAGTAAGGCATCCTGCGGCAACATCGTGATTTTCCGCCGCCTGTTCATTGCTCAGCCTCTTAGGCCCAACATGCGGCTGGGGTCGTGAGTCCAAGTCAGTTAAAATTCAAGTTGAATGAATTCGGTTTAACCGTTGCCTTGTTTGTCGGATCGGTTGGCCTTAAATTCACCCAAGCCCAAGAGTCCGCGTTCTCAAGGAGATCTGTGACGATCCCTCCTGCAGCTACTGGAGGCTGGAGAAGCAGGACGACGGCAAGAGTCAGTTGCGGTACATGCAGACCGACTTGATGTTTAAGCTTCCGCCGGAGATGCAGAACATCGACAACATCAAGGTCATGTGCGCAAGAAACTTCAACACATCCTTGAGTTTCTCAGCTGCAATGTGCGAATCTTTCAGATCAAGTTATCTAAGCACGCGCTTCTCTAGTTCTCTCGTCTATTCAGAACATGTTGAAACCACTTCTTCCAACTCAATTGTTCGTTGCATAGCAATTCCGTCAGGTGCTGGGTTGGTGGACATCTCGGTGTGCAAGATCCTGAATTCCGACATCAACGAGGGCAAGACCTTGCCCGAGAGCCCGTTCTTTCTGAAGGAGTGCCCGACGGGTTCCTCCCCCGAAGCCGGTTCTGGTGATGGCAAGAAGACGAAATCGTGGCAGGCGAAATCGGAGACTGCGCTTCAACCGGCAGCTGGGAACGGCAAGAACACTCCCCCGCGGACGCCGAAGCGCAAGATCAATTCCAAGTCGTCGCCTAGCAAGAGTCCGAAGACCCTCGCCGGATCGCCCGTCAGCTCGATCAAGTCGCCAGCATCAGGAGGGCGAGGATCGCCAAAGTAAGCTTGACTGAGATTGTTTCAGGGGCAAGAACACAGAAGAAGCATTATTATTTTTAACATAAAAAATGCATCGCTGAAAGTTGGTGTCACATGCTTTTGTGTTCTCGGGTTACCCCTGCTTCTGAGTCTTCCGAGACTGTAGGTCAGAGAGCAGGGAAGTATTTCAAGAGCGCCCCGGCCTGACTCTGCCGAATTCCGCTGCCGCTGTTTCTGAAGGCAAGAAATTTTAATCGAGTCCTCGGCCGCTGAACCTGGCAAGTTTTGGCGATCAACCGCCTTGCCGGGCAGTTTGCGATAAAACGCTGCCTTAGTCACTGGCCGCAGAAGTCGCAAGAGAGAAAACGGGTTGCCAGAGCAACAAGCCTTTTGACGCACCTCATTTGTGATTTTACACTCCCGCCCGCCAGGATTCTGCACTTCCTGGACCTGCACTGAACGACTGTCGGGCCCTGGCAAGAATTTTTGCTAATGAGCCAGAGTAACGCAAGAAACTCCGTATTTTTGGAAAGACATTCGCAGGAAATCCCTGCAAGATGCAGAGAAAAAGGCGTGGCAAATCATCATCATTTCATCTCGCTGACATATAAACTTCACAGACTATCCGGGGTGTAGTGTCGTAAATTCTTATTGAAGCTTTTAATATACTTGGGAATTTTAACAACATATCAGAACTTTATCTTGTAACCGAACAACCCACGAACCCCTCACGAACCCCCAAAACGTTCGCAGAAGTTCGCCGAAGGGTTTTTGAAAAAACGAACTTCGTCGAAGGGTCAACCTTTGCCTGACAGACCGTTGCCCCCTTCTGCGTTCCCCTCAACCAAAGTGTCTCAAGCCTGAGGGATGCAGAAGGTTTCACCTCCGTTAGCGACGCATCACGCACTTCAGCCTCCGTGAGGTTGTGCACAGCGTGCCATGCCCTGTTTTGGGAGTTTGGGTGCACGCAGGGTGTCAGTTGATGACAATGCATACTCTTGATGTTCCCGGGCCCTGCAGCAGCTTTCTCTGTGCTCAGAAATCTCTCTGTCTGACAATTCCTCCAGGGAAACCACTCCCTTGTTTGCCTTCATGTCTCCGACAATGGGTGGCCGATTCGTGGCCGCGGCGTTCGTCTTGGCGCAGCTGGTGTCTGGGGACTTTGTCTACGACGACAAGTTGGGAAGCGGAAAGTCGCCCGTGCTGCCGCTCGGGAGCCCGGAACGCATGGTGAGGTCCATATTCGAGATCACTCGGACCACCACCGGTACTCTGGGAGCCGTGGGAGGTCAGCACTCTCAGCTGATCTTGGACTTCGGTGATCAGGAGCCCATGTTGGCCGTGGACTTGCACACCGTACGAGACCCTAAGAAACCTGGCTCCCGTCTGAATCTGGGGGCCATCTTCGTGCTTCGCATCCCGTACGAGGACGTAAAGACCTCCAAGAAGATGAATTCGGGCCAAACTATGACCAAGGAGGAGCTCAAAGAAGCCAAGGCCAAGAATCCCTCCTTCGCGCCCAAGTCCATTTGGCGTGAGAGTCACCTGTCCTCTGAAGTCTCCGAGCAGCAGGTCTTCTCCTTCCTGAGGGCCTGGCAGCTTGGCTGCCCACATCTAAACTGTTAAGGAGATGAGATATATCTATGCGACTACGTAACTACCTCCGTCGCACGGCCCAGCCTGTTGCCTGCCGTCATCCTCCTCTTCAAACTCATCTCAGTCATCGGCACCATCGTTAGTCAATCTCTATCTCCGGCTCATCATATCCTCATCGCGCTGATCGGAATGGTGTTCCTCATGGTCGTCGTCGTCGGTTGTCCGTCGTCCGTCCTGGTCGTCCGTTTCCGTTGATCCTGGAAGGCACAAACTCTTCGCACACCGCTACGGCCAGCTCCAGTTCAATTGCCAGGTGATGATCGGGGTTGCTTGGAACTACATGACAGGCGAAAGTGAAGACATCCGATGCCCTAACTGCCATCTTTTCAAGCTGCCAAGTCACAAAGACCTCCAGGACCTTGGCGTGATGGTGTGGGAGCGCCAGCATGCCCTCTCTTGGGGCAACATGGAGGGTGTGTACGGAGGCCTAGGAGGGGTGGTGGACACTCTGGACCTCCTCAACGGCACGTGTGGCTTCCGAGATCGCGCGCTGGCTCCCGGCATCTACGCCTTTCCGTCCCCTCGCAGTCTGCCCTTTACCAAAAACCAGCTGGGCGGCACGGGCACAGCGGTTTTCCGCGCATACACACTTGGGCTGCACCACATTGGCTCCATTTTCGACTTGTCGGACCATCCACTGGTCTTCCGTGGGGATCTCAGCTACAAGAAACGAGCCTTCACGGCTGCAGAGCACTCGCTGCTGTACAAGGATGACAACAACACATTGGAAGCTGCCGAAGCCACTGGCATCAAGGTGGGCCCCTTCACCCTTGCGCTGGATTTGGGTGGCAGCTTGATGAGGCTTCTGCTGAACTTACCCGGGCACACGACGCACACAGCCACTGTGAACACGGGTGTGGACCTCCTCAAAGAGATGGACCTGGGCCGACGGGCCGTGATGCAAGCCGATGGGCAGGTGAAGTACCGTGGCCGCCAGAGGTTCACTTACGCTGTGACGGACACGCGCTTGGAGATCGCCACTGGGGGCATGCTCGACACTTTGAAGATCCCCTTGGGACTCACCGGGCTGCTGTCGAAGAACATGAAGTTCGATCTCCTCAGCAAGCACAACATGCACGCTGGATCACGCAAGGATCTGCGTTACGCGGGCGAGCTGGTGATCGTGAACAAGAATCCGGAGCATGCACATGACGTGGAGCTTTGGAGCGAGGATGACGAGTACGAGATGGTCTTCGACAACGGCTCGGGATCCTACAAGCCCTACTGGCCAGCACCCCAGCTTGAAGAGCTGCTGCATTGCAACTTGCCGGACATCCCAGGAAAGTTCTCGATCCGTGTGATGCGTGGCTCCTTCGGTGCCGATCAGGCGACGCTCGATGCTTACTGTGACATTTGGCACGGCGTGGACGACATTCCCGAGACAGAGGAGTGCAAGAAGTCTCTTGGCTTTGTCGCCGTGCAGCCGGAGGTGCACAAGTGCTGCGGCTCCCCTGCGAAGAGCGACGACAACGGAACCTGCGTTTGGAAGTGGCCTGAGGCCGTGGAGTCCGATTGCATCGAGCTGCCAGGTCATTGCTGCCAGGAGAGCGTTGTGAGCCAACCAGGCTCTTGCTCGGCCGAGGCGACATGCCAGGCTCAAGTCATGAAGGATCCAGGAAACACGGAGGCCGAAGCGGGTGCTGCAGAAGCTTAGGTCTTGCGGATTCAGCCACAAGCAGTTTGTTTGAAGGTAGTTTTTGCATGGTCATGCATCCAGACGTGTTGCAGGTCTTTTTGGACAAGGTGAATGCTGGTGTGAAGAAGTGGTGGAATGGGCGGCGCGATGAATGCTGGGCGCGGCAGTGGCGCACGCGCATGTTCGAGTGCCTTGCAACTCATGACGTGGGCAAGCCCAGCACGCGCACCGAGACCTGGTTGCAGGGTTTGCTAGGATACTTTGCAAGCGACTCTTCGAACCAGGATAGGTGGCAGGCTTACCTGGACAATTTGCAAAAATTGGGCATCAAGCACCTGCAACTGGATCACCTGCAGCGTGGCCCCACCAACTTGGCCAATGATGAAGTGGTGGTGCAGTGCATACTGCCTTTCGTCAACAACGGCTTCCCCTACGTTCCCTTGAGTCTCAAGCTTTGGAGCTTCCTGAAAGTTGGAGTCTACGACCCTTCGGAAGGTAAGATCTTCGGTGCAAACCTTCACAAGTTGACGAGCCAATACAGGCAGTACATCTTCGATGAGCTCGACTACAAGGCCCGGGTCGGGGGCGGAGCGGAGGGGTCTCTGGGTAGAGTGTTTTTCGAAATCCACTCTTTCTCAGGGGGAGAACTACAAGACCGGCTACGACGGCGAGGAGGGCTGCCCGCCGCGTCCTTAGCGTGTTCCCTCGTGAACAATGCTGCACCCTCAGCTGGCGCGGGTTTGTGAAAGGCGCAAAGTCACTAGGTCTCAGAATCAGTGCAGACAGGTTGAGGCGCAGGTGAAAGGCTTGAGGTTCTTGTTTAGGGTGAGGTTGTGTATTCCATCCGCACTAGTGTCGGAAGACTCGGAAGACCAGGTGTGGAATCCTGGGTTGCGTGCGCTGAACACTGAAGCGTTTTTGGACACATAGGCCCTTTTGCTAGCTTCGAGTTTCCTTCCTCTCAGCCGTCCGACGGGAGGAGCAGCAATGTCAGTCCGTTTTCCTTGCGTTTCGAATCGAGTGGACCTGCGAGACCCCTGAGGTCACAGTAATTCAGATGCCAGACACGATAAGTGTACTTACAGCCTGCATACCCTTTCGGAACCCTTGCGCCCCTCAACCGGGACGCAGCTGGCTGAGGACGGCGATGACCATTCCCCGCGCTGTGGACGAGTGGGGCAATGCCATCGCCATGCCCGGCCATACCCAGGTCGGGGTTCCAGGGAACAGAAATTTGCCGGGGCTCGATCACCCGTTCCTGACAAGCGCATTGTAGCCCGAGATTGCGCGTGTATCCAAAAGCCGGGAAGGCTTGTGCCCCGTAACAGCACGGCCTCCACGACAGTATTGTAGGTGGAGGATGCTTGAGGGAAGCTTCAACTTCTCTGCGAGGAACAACCGGAGAGCTTCGAGCTGAACTTGACAGCAGGGGAGCTCGCGGCCGTGGATCTCACAGACCGCCTCGGCACCTTAGAGGCCGGGAACGGTAATTCCCGAGACTATATACCTCCCTTCTTGGCAGAGTGCACCACCACCCCCACCACCGCCGCTGCCACCACCGCCGCCGCCGACGTCCGCCACCACCGCCGCCACCACCACCACCACCACCCACCACCACCACCACCACCACCACCACCACCACCACCACCACCACCACCACCACCACCACCACCACCACCACCACCACCACCACCACCACCACCACCACCACCACCACCACACCACCACCACCACCACCACCACCACCACCACCACCACCACCACCACCACCACCACCACCACCACCACCAGCCGACACCGGCACCAGCCGACACCGGCACCGACAGCGCCAGCACCGCCGCCATCATCGTCATCGTCAGCATCCTCCTCCTCCTCCTCCTCCTGCTCCTCCTCCTCCCCCTCCTCCTCCTCCTCCTCCTCCTCCTCCTCCTTCTCCTATTTCACCCATTTTCCTCACCATCATTCTCACCATCATCATCCTGTTCATCCCCGTCCTCCTCCAGTCATCATCATCATCATTATCATCACCATCATCAGCATCATCATCGTCGTCGTCCCCATCATCACCGCCTCTGGCCATATCACCGCCTCTGGGCATGAATTTTAGCAGCATCGCTTGGTGAGTACGAGAATCCTGCCACTTTCCCCACACGTCCCAAGGTGCAATGTGGAGCTGTGGTCGCAGGTGCCATCTCGCCGTTTGCCAGCTCCCTTTCCGGAGCTATGGTCACTGCGGTGGGTGGAGAGAGTACCAGCCAGATGTCTCCCACGGAGACGAAGGGCCTCGTCGAGAAACTCGTCCAGACTGGGTGGGTCCAGCTTCGATTCCGGCGTGGTGTGGACCCAAGCTTCTGCACCGGGAACATCTGCAACGACCGCACCATCATCGAAGGCTCCGATACTTGGACCCGATGCGGGGTCAGAATGAGCACATGCGGCAATTACTGTTGTTGCCTGGCCGGCTCGGAGTACACTTCCTCCTTTCTAGGTTACCGATGCGCCAGCTGCGGAGCCTGAGTTAAGATGGACCACGGATCAGTACGGCACCAAAAAAAGAGTGACTTTTCAGCTGCTGCGGTTTCAGACAAGCTTTGTCCCCTAGCAGCTCTCGACATCTTTCTCAAAAGCTTCTCCGTCCCTCGTTCTCCACCTCCCTTCCCTCCCTCCCTCGCTCTTTCTCTTTCTCTCTTTCGCTCCCTCTCTCTTTCTCTCTGTCTCGCTCCCTGTCTCGTGATCTCTCTCTGTCAGTTCCTTTCTGGATGCTGCGCAACTTATGCATCCTTCTCGCCATCTCCGTCTGGTACCGTTCAGCCCTGCCACACTGAGAAGACAGCATTTGCCCTACAGGGCACAGCCCACGAGACGGTCTCCATCTTTGTGCTTGGACCCTCGGAGAATGCTCTACACACTAAACCCTCTCAAATCCTTAGAGCTTTGAAGGAACCCTTGGCGGGGATACCACATTGATGAATTCTGCCGACGCTAAAACCTCATAACTCATAACCATGTCCCCCCTTATACATAACACCAATGTCATGTATACGAAAGATCCCTGAAAGGGACCCTTAGTAGGAATCCGATACTATACACTCAGGCCTGAAAGTAGCCCCTGTCTGTGCACTTTAGGGTCAACACAATATGTACTCTGTGGGTGCATGGACCGTTAGGGTCTTTCAGCCAGGAAGGAACCTATTAGTTTCGGTGTGCGAGCATATTGCCATGGACTCACGGTGCATCGCAGCAGATCTATGATCGCAGCGTTGCCAACACCGACCAGCAAAGAAATGCACGTGAATCTTTCATACTGCGGAGCTCGGGTTGTCATGCTATTGCAGTCAGCGGTTCTACGAATCTGCAGGGGTCGCTGCACGTGAATCAGAGACTTGTCGTTTCCCTGAACTGCACGGCTTTGCACTGAACACATGGCGCTGGCATGCAGCACTTCTCCTTGAGGCCTTTGTGGTAACGCAGCCAGGATATCCAATGGCTTAGGCTTAATCTAAGCGGTGCACAGGAGCGATCCGAGAATTGGATGACGAGGCGACGAGGCAGTGCGCGCAGCGCTGCTTCGGAGCTTAGCCCATGCCGCTCGGCTGTCATTGAGGCGCAGAGACGCTGCAGAGATCTGTAGATAGATGAAGCCAGCACCCTTCAGCATAGGCAGAGTGCTGCAGAGCAGCATAGAACCTCCGGACAGGTCTTCTTGACCCCAAGCCAGCTCTGATGAGGCCGCAGGGCCTCCGTGAATGCGGAAGTGCAGTGGCTTGCAAGTGCTGTTCTGTCTCCTGGGGCTCGGCATCTTGGCTTGTCCAAGAGTTCTTCATCTTCAGAATCACATCCGCTGTCGTTTGACCCGCCAGGTGTTGTAGTAGCGTCCCGTGTGCAACACGATGAAATCAGGGCCAGCTTGACGTGAGACTTGTGTCGTGGAGACGAGGTCTCTTGCATCTATGGCAGAGTGGCTTTCAACTGAGTCCCGCGGCTTGGCAAGGGCATCCAGAGAGCGGACCGCAGGAGGTCACAGCTGTTCTAGAGGCTACCGAGGCCGTAGCGGAAGAGTCGCCAGAATCTGGAAATCTGACGGTCGACCAGTGGGGTTCGGCTCTGTCAGAGGATGCCGAAGATGGCGAGTTACTGAACAGCACGGCAAGCACTGCAAGCACGGCGCTGGAGCAAGCGGATGCCAGTGAGGCTTTGACCTGGTTCCTGCGAGAAGAAGCTTCGGACCCTCCGGGCTTCTCTGAGTTCCGAGACCGGCTGCTCTCTGTCCAAAAGCGCGGGCACAGCAATCCCGAGTCCGTGAAGTGGGTGGTCTTCACAGCATCCATAGGACTAGGGAACTGGATGGCGGGGCTCTCCTCGGCACTTCTGGTCGCAGGGCTGACTGGCAGGGCTTTCGCATGGATCCCAGCTTCGATGCGGGATGTTTGTACATGGATGGACTCGCCCTTGTGCGATTGGGCTAGGCATCCTGTGCACGTGATTGAGGAGGCAGAGAAAGCCCTTGAAGCGATCGCAGCAAATCCGAAGGCGAAGCCAAGGAGCAAGTCCGTCGAGGTGCTTGCAATCGACTGGAAAGGCTGCAAGTACGAGAAACTCCGCTGCATGCCAATTACACAGAAGCCGATCTTGCTTTTGCTGTCTGGAGTCTGGGTTGGCAATGTGCTACTGGAGAACCTGGATTTCCTTCCTATTTTGCAGCAAGCCTTCCAGCGGCAGCTTGCAGCCCATGGTGCACCGCATGGTGGACAGGATAGAGCGGTGGGCCTAGCAGCTGTGTGACCTCCCCAATTCAGAAGCCTATATAGCCCCATCGCAACTGCTAATGGGATATGTCCAAGATGCGCAAGGTCATTCTGGACACGTACGGCCCGTTGGTGCGCCTGGCTGAGTATATCTTCTACTGTTCTGCACCATGAATTGAGGATTGATAAGCTTCGATGTCTTGATGCTGTGCGATGATGTGCGATGTGGTGGGTCTGAGAAGACCTTGCGACTGAGTCGCTGGATCTTCCCGCCAGCGGCCGCCGTGCGCAAGGCGCAAGAGCCAGTGCCACGAAGTGCCGCGAAGCGGTCTGCCGTTGCAGGAGACGGAAGGCTACGTACAGAGATACTTGCGGCAGTCGCCCTAGTGCGGGTGTTCAGCTTTCCCCTGGTAATGACCGCCTTGTGCGCTTTGCAAAGTAGGTCCGGCAACGTCTCCATCTGCGTTCAAGGCCGCATTGTTCTCAGCATTCCTCAGCTCTGAGGGGCTCAGTGAGGATGTTCGACGAGACCGGATTGGGAGATTTCCAGTGTTCCAGGTTGGGGCAACAGCCGAGAATTCCGAGATGCGAAGAAATGCGGCAACCTCGGTGGAGACCGAAGCCACGAGCTCTGACTCTGAGTGCTAAGTCCGGATCCTAAACTAGAGAATCTGTATCTGAAACGGAGGCTGGGTTTGCAGGCAGGAAAGGAGCATAGCAGCATAGTGTGGTGCAGCTGATAGCTGCTCTCAGGTATTGATCAGATGATGGCCTGGTTCTTGGCACGGCCCGCACCACGTCGCACCGCACGGCTCGTTTCTTGTTGCTCAGTTGCTCGGATCTCAGAGGCAGCGCCCTGGTGGCCAAAGGGCAAGACGGCATGGAACCCAGTTGTGACTTCTCAGACTCTGGGATTCAAGAGCTTTTACTCCGTGCCAGGTCATGCACGTAGCATCCATGAAGCAGAGCTTTCGAAGAAAGGCGCAGCCAGCAGCCTAACACTCGATGCTCGGAGAACACGGGGCCCCAAGTGCCAGGTCAAAGAGGCTTACGAGCCACAGGGCGTCCAGCTCTCAGCCTTGGCGAAACCACTCCTTGGCCTAGAGCCGCCGAAGCCGCCGAAGCCGCGCCGAAGCCGCCCGGCGGCGGAAGGTGCTCGTGACCTGGCCTTCCTGGGACACGCGCTCCCGGCCTGGTGGAAACGCCGATCCGCGCGCGCATTTCGCCGGGACAGCTGTGCCAGGCACGTGAAAGGCCAGAGGGACGATGTGGTCGGGTACAAGGCGCAGGGCCGACACCCACAGTCGGTGGGAGCGCCCAAGTGTGCAGGACATGCTCCTCCTGGGGAGTTGTAACATCACTGTCGTTCCGACCGGTGGTTCCACTTTCAGCTACGCCGCGACGGCGATGTGCCCCGAGATCTTCAAGCAATCAAACTAACAAGGAGAGGAGAGCCTGCACGCAATTCGACCCGCTCTCCTTTTTCGCAGGAAGCGAGCATACTATCAGGTTGGAACAGAACACGGTGCAGCCAGATGCTGCATTCTAGTTAGCAAGACCGCACCTGCCGTCCGGCCTGTGCCAACTGACTGCTACTAGTAACTATTAAGCAGGAAAAAAGGGCGCACCGCGAACATTTGTTTTCCCTGGGTGTGGAGGGCAGGAAAAATCGACACAAAACTACACGTTTCTGTCCAAGTGCGGTACTGTGCACTTCGGACACCAGGCTCGAGCACACATACAGCTGCTAAAGTGCTGCAGTTCGCAACAGTCATACGCAGTCTCTCTATGGACAACTCGAATAACAAACAACAAACGCACGTTAGCACATGCACACAGACGCCAGTCCTGCTGCACGCGCGCGGGCACCCCGCAGCATCGTGGCTCCGAGCGGCCTTGGTCTTCTCTGACTGGGAGGTATCATCGCGTCAGCCTTCGAGATGCCGGAGGTGCCAAGAGGAACTGTGGCGAGCTGTCGGATCCTTAGCTGAGCAGCAGAAGCAGAAGCGGCAGCGTCTGCATTGCTGCATCGCTTCTTCGCTTTGCAACTCCGCACTCCCCGCAGCGCTACGAGGCAGCGCTGGCCCTACGAGCGTTTGTTTCCGGAACCACGTCAACAGCACGGCACCCGGCTGCTGAGAGACGTCTGCAAGCTTCATGCAGACCTCTCTGACAGGCTTGACCTCGACCGTAAGTGCCGCAAGCGCTCGAAGGTGCTCCGTTGTAAAGCATTCTCGGAGCAAGCTGGGACTCTGTTGCTGTGATTTGAAGCTGCCGCTTGGTCGCAGATGCGACTTGCAGTCGAGGCACATCCGAGAGGGCAGCTGCAGTGTCCCGACGGCGGGTCAAAATTTCTATTTCTCGTTGTCGTCGTCGAGCCTAGCGCAACTCAGCGCAATTCTGAAGGCTGACTCCTGACTCCTATTGCCGTGACTTTCGGCCCAAGCTCTGCGTAGACTTTTTAAATCTACACGACCATGGAAACCCATCATAAAAGCCACACCCGGTCCCTGGGCATCGCCTGTAGAACCCAGTGACTGACTCCCCGCACCCCCAAAGCACAACATTAACCTTTTCTGATTCTGACACCGGAGCGGCGGAGAATGCGGAGCCTGCATGTCCCGGCCCGATGCACTGGAACAGGAGCTGTACGAGACGGTGGCGGACAAGCAGGCTTGGATGCGCTACATGTTTGTCTTGGAGAGGTTGCATTGACCCAGCTGACAGATTGAAACAAATTGTGCAGCATGCGCCGATCTTGAGTCTCGTCACTTGGGACCCCTCGCCAGTTCACAGCCCTGAGTCACGGAAGGCCTTTCAAGTCAAGCTTCGACAGCTTCGGTCGGAGGTCCGCCTGGTGGAAGCCAGCTTAGAGGCCTTGCACTGGGCTTCGGCTTGAGGTCGAGCGTAAGAAGCTTCGGCAACCCACCCACGGATAGCAAGAGCAGCAGCCAGCAGCAAAACCACAAGGTCCCTATCAGGCTTCGCATCGCATCCTCAGTCCAAGTCGCTAAGTCCTGATCAACATAATGCACACGGAACTTTGCTTCTTGGCAAAATGGCGAGCCTTTGCGCTTCCGCACCGTGCAGCCCAAGCCTTCTATTCAGCACCCGCCGTTGTGAAAACCCATCAATGGACAAGACAAGCATGGCATTGTCCAGGGCTGGTGAAAGCCGAGTTGCGATGCCCACACGACCATGTGATGCACCAAACTGCCCTCATCCCTGGAACAATGCAGCCCCGCAGCTGAACGATTTATCAGAAGAGTCGTGAGGGAGCCCCAGACGCGAGTGGATCAGTGAAATGAGGAAATGCATACTCGTAAGGCAGAAGGCTTTTGAAGTTTTGGACGGTCACCGTAAAGTAGCCAGGCTTGTACATGACCCTGTTGTCTGGCGTCGTTCGTCCACGTGCCGCCTTACGCATAACCGCCCACCCGACCGAATTGCTGTTTATAGTTTGATGCCTGGCACCCAGAAAACAAGTGTCGCTCCTAAGGATTTGATTAGACGAAAGGTTACTGGACGCCGTCATGGTCCGTTTGTAATATTCAGATCTCTGCGACTGTGACTGTAACGCCATTGTTCGTTCGTGTGCATCTTGCCAGCTCCGGGGCCTATGCAGATTGTCAGTAGAGCGAGGCGCTTCAGCAGAAAGAAAGCTGGCTGACACATGAGCTGGTGCAGGGCCCAGAAGCCTGTCTGAACGGCTGCTTCCGGTCCTCACGTCCAGTCTTGCTCACGTCCTGTCTTGCTGACGATGGTCATTGGCTCGCAGGCAAAGCGCACGAGAGTTCGGACAGAGCTCCCTTCTATCGATGACTTCGTCCAAGGCGCGAGAGTTCGATCAGAGTCATTCTGCTCAGTTGGGGCTCACAAGATCTTAGGATCCTTCCTTTGCGTCTTTTGTTACAGGAAATCTGATCGGAACCTGGGAACTTGACGAGCCCAAAGCAGAGCATTCAAATGGACCTCGGAGGTCGTGCGCTCGAAAGCGCGATTCCCAAGTTCTTCGATCTGGATCAGGCCAAAGACAATCAGCAATATCCAAGATAATGCTCTGCTTGATACGGAAGCTAAGTGGATGGCAAGATGTATCCGTTGATAGTTTTGTATCCCTCAGCGCTGATAATGCACTGATAATGCACTGGTTCACTAGTGGTCTGGCAGGAGCCAAAGGAGCCAAAGGAACCAGAAGAACTTCGGAGCGACGAGGACGAGAACGAGAACGCCGAGGAGAGCCAAAGCCAGAAGGCTGGAGATCCTGCCTTGCCGCCTTGCGCTCGACGACGTGATACTGTGTCACAGTTACTGGGCTGAGGCCGAAAGTGACGACTGGGAGGAGATGCTGGAGTCCCTCGGTGTGGCGAGGCGCGTACGATGGCGGAAAGGGGGCCTGGTGTGACGTCGTGCGATTCTGTCGGCGATGAGGTGCGGCTATTGCGGACTGCGCCTTCCACTCGACGCGGCGCCTGCGAGTTTCGGTTTCGCCTTGCTCCGATGACCTCCTCCCTTGCTCTTCCACCCGCTTCACGCGACAGATCGCCGCAATCGAGCAGCACTCGAAATGCTGCCCTGGCACCGGGCCGAACAGTCCAACCAGCCGAGGCCAAGAGTAACGAACAGGAGTAGGACTCACCGTATTGCCACGTCCCCGAAGGCACACCGAGCCCAATACAGAGCCCTCCGAAAGATGGGCTGACTGCACGGTGTAGCAACTGCCGCGGCCCAAGGCTTAGGAGATCCAAGGAGCCCTGAGGCCTTGAGCGGTGCATTTGGGGGTGTCCAGCCAGGTCTGCGGTCTAGTGTCTAGTGAATCTAGTGAGTGCTACGGTGCCCGGTGGTGGAGGTGGCTCATATCAAGAAGAGGCATGTGCGTTTGCATGAGCGGATGAATGAAAGAAAAGAACGAACGACAAAGAACGAAGGAATGAACGAACGACAGAAAGAAAGAAAATGTCTGTCTGTCTGCCGGCCTGGCTGGCTGTAGGTAGGTGGGTAGGCAGGAGGCATGTCTACATGTATGCACGTGCATGCACAATTATGTATGTATGTATGTATGTATGTATGTATGTATGTTTATTGCCGCCCGGCTGCACAGGCGAAGGCTCAAGTTCTACGCCGCAGTCTGTGTAAACCATGTCTATACTGCCAGGAATCTCGCATTGATCTTCAACATCACTGGAAGCAGTGTTACATGATCACCTTACTCAGCTTCCTAGAGTGCTGGCTGAACAACACCTTCCCTGCTATAGCCTCCACTGCCCTGGACCAACCGGTTCACGCACTCCCTCCTGCCAATGTCAGTGGAGGATCAACGCGAATTGGGCCTCTTCCAGAACTTCATGACACCGCCGGCGGGCATGGACGCAGCTCAACTCAAGCGCCGACGGGGGGAGGAGCCGGAGGCACAACAAGCCCTATTCCTGAACCACTCGTCCGGCTCCCAGGCCTCAGCGTCGACCATGACGTTCGCCAGCACGAGCTCGGAACCCAAGGGCAAAGGGAAGGGCAAGCAGCCCAAGGGCAAAGGACGGGGCAAAGGGGGCAAATCACGCCCAGCTGCCCAACAGTCGTGGAACGACCAATGGAGCTCGGATCAGTCTTGGTCCAGCGGCCACTCCTGGACTTCCTCCGGCGACCTGACCGGTCAAATGGCCCGCCTCCTTCTCCGCCACGAGCAGCAGCTGCAGAGCATCCAACAGGACTGCAAGCTGCATCTCTATCTCCGCAGTGGGAAGGAATCCTTTCTTCCCAATCTATGCGAGATTGCAAAGGAATGGAGCCGCCTTCGTCGCGACGAACCGGGGAAGATCAACAGTCCGCTGCGCACTCTCCTCCTCAAAGCCACCTTGCAGGAGATGGAGACCCGGATCAAGCTCACCATCAGCAAGGAGAAGCAGGCGACCATCGACATGCAGTGGTACAAGGAGGAGGAGGGCTGGACTTACATGCAGTGGAATGCACAAAAAGGACAGCTCGAACTTCAAGCTGCTCCGAGTCCACTTGCCACCGAGACCCTCATCGAACTCCTCCGAGAGCTTCGCACCCTTGTGAATCCGGACTCTGTGAAGAAATTCGCGTCACTCCGCGGACTTCCACAGGAACCTCAGTCCGAATGGATCCACTTTCAGCTGGAGCTCGGGTTTCGTCCACAGGGGGATCGCATGTGGGAAATCTTTCAAATGCTGCTCAACCAGAGTTGCCTCCATCCTCTCGGAGCGCGCCTGAGGAAGGACCGCCCCGGCCTGTCAGGCCTTGCGGCCCAAATTCAACAGGCGGTCGGAGGCTGGTGAAATCAACCACTCCATTGGCCTCGACCTCAGCCTCTTCCGGCATACGTCGCTTTCTCAGAGTGTCCCGGGATTTGCCCTTGCTCCTCGCCCTCATTTGTGCCCTCCGAAGTCCCCTTGCACTTTCAGCCTTTGCTTCATGCAGTCCTCCACAATGCAGACGGCACTGCCTGCTACATGAACACAGCACTCATTGCCCTGCTATGGGCAATTGGCTGCCATGATCCCACTCGATCTGGCTCATTGTGCAGCTTATATCAGTGCTTGACTGCGAGGTCGGACCTTCGACTGATGCGCAACATGTGCTGGACTATGTTGCTGGGGAACTGGGCCAGGCCCAATCAACAACACGATATGCACGAATTTCTGCTTCATCTCATGCCGAGAGTTCGATTGGAGGCCTTCAGCGGTTTGTGGCAAACTCGCAGACTGGAGGACACGGGCACTGTGATCTGTGCATCTTCCAATGCACTGCTCCCGGTCACAATTGACCTGCCCCTGGAGGCACGGGGGCTTCAGCATTGCGTACAGGAGTGGTCTGCTCAGCATTATCACACCGCTTTCGATGGCAATCTGCCTCATCTCATTTGCCTCCACTTGTCGCGCTATAGGCGTGATGCTGAACGGGGCATTTTCAGCAAGGATGATCAGGCTCTCCCGGACTGGTCTGAAGTGATACGCATTCCCCAATTTGCAACGTCACATGACATTCAGAAGCACTGGAGACCCTATCAGGTGTGTGCCATGGCTCTCCACTATGGGCCTGCCTTGCACCAGGGGCATTACCGCTGTTTGACGCGATGGGGTCAAAATCCAGTGCGAGTCTGGCTGCATGACGACAATCATGCAGCTGAGCCTCTCTCCTTGCCAGACTCTGTTGAGCTCAGTCGCAAAGCCTACTTGCTATGGGCAATGCGAATGGACTGAGGCCTCACCTGCCATTGTGAGCACGCTCTGACGACTTAGTTGTACAAAGCACACGTACTGTCATTCGTGACTACGTGTGACTTGAGGGGGCACAAAATGTGCGCGCCCACCGAGGCGCCGGAATCTCACCACGAGATTCTGCCTTAGCTAGCTAGGCGACGACTCGTTCGCTGCGTCCTGAAGAAGATGTATGTTTATTGCAAGCCGAAAGGGGCTGCGTCGTATCGACCCATCGCCCGAAATGCGAGAAATGCGAGATGTATGTATGTATGTATGTATGTATGTATGTATGTATGTATGGTGTGAGTGTGTGTGTGTGTGTGTGTGTGTATATGAGTGCAAAGGTGTTTGTGTGTATGTGCGTGTGAGTGACTGCACCTGTGTGTGTGTGTGTGTTATGGAGGTACGCGCGGGATGTTCGGAGGAATGTTTGTATGTAGAAGCCCATACGAATGTAGACCTCAGTCCTGTCCTAGGGATGCTCGAGCAGCGACTCAGCTTGAGGTGGTGATTCCCTGTCGATGGACATGGTCGAGTTCGGGACTTTCACATTCCTGTCATTGGGGCTTGGTGTCCAATCATGGAGCTGTGATGTCAAGCCTGATCACAGAGACGTGCAGGCAGCACGTCTGTCGTCGCGGTGAGTAAAGCTGCCACGACGAGGCCACAGCAAATCAGCAAATCGTAGCGCATTGTGACGGACCTCGACCCTGGAGCCGGTCAGGACAACTTGGACTTTCATGGACATGCTGCTGCGAACATGCGTCAGAAAAATCGGTGCCATCTGCATCGGTCATGCAGTCCGGATGGCTCTAGGACTGAAAGAGGCTTGTTTCTGCAGAGTCTATGTTGGCACATGTTGCAGAAATCGCGCGTGCTGCTCGCGGCGGCGTGAGCCGCAGCAGGCAAGATCGGCGCAGCTAACGAAGCGGCTCGTCTCCAGAGCCGGGAAAGAGCTTGCAAGCATGTTTGCAAGGGCAAGGTCTCTGTCTCTCAAGGGCGTGGCGGTTTTTCGTGCACACCGGACCTCTGTCCGATGGCGACGTCGAAAAAATACAAAATTCCACGCAACTGCCAGATCTGCAGTGTGCATGGGCTTCTTTTGTTGTGCTGCGCGAGGGTTCGGGCACCGCATGCGATACGCACCGTCCCACCGTCCGCGTCCGGCGGGTACCGATGTTGCCATATGACGGACATTGCAGCTTTTCCTTTTCCAGCCCCACGCCGAAAGTGAGGAGTGGGATGGCAGTGCGCTCCTTGGCTTTCCTGCCCACCCTGTCGGGCTGCTTTGGGGGTGCGGACGGCTGCATACTGGCCTCCGTGGGCCGACGTGCTCCCAGTCATGGACAAGCGCAGGCCAGACTGCAGCACGATGTGCACGCGAGCTGGCAGCTGCTGACGTGGTCGAGGCGCCGTCATGCGCCGTCATGAGGGCCGCGGCAGCCGCAGGCATCAGGCACCGCCATGGACGCAGAAGGTTGGACGGCGCGCCCCGACTAGTCCACCTTTTGGAGGCTCGCCGCCCCGGTACCTGCACCCGAACAGCCGGCAGAGACCGGGGATTGGCTTCGTGGCGAGCGCGTCCTCTCCCAGCCTCCGTGCATCTCCGTGCCGATGTTTGCGCACTGCTGCGATCACAGTTCGGTGCCCATGCTGGCGAATATTGGCGAATGGCGTATAATGGCTCTTCGTGATCTCAGCTGTTGGAAGTATTCGCGGCGCCTGAAATGCCCATCGCTCTGCGCCGATGCTTGCGCCTCCCTCTTCCTTCGGCAGCTGCTGGGTGTGGTGGCGGTGGCGAGCCCGGTTGCTGCACCCGCGTGGATGCCCTCGGCGATCACCGTGCCGCATACGCCCGCATCGACCCGCTAGCGTAACGAGCCCCAGCTTCAGCAGTGGCTTTTGCACACCACCGCGACTGGGATCCCAGCCGACGATTGGCGCCGGCTCGACTTCGTCCTGAATGGTGCCACCAGGCACCGTCAGGCGCAGTGCTGCGATGTCGCGCTTGTGTCGCCTTTGCGTGCAGATGGGAGGCGGTCGCGATCGCACGGCTGTCGAAGTCGCACGGGGCTGTAAACTCGCGCAGTCATTGAGATTGCCCGCTGGACTGCAGCTCGTGGTGCTGGCATCCGAGGTCGGCAGGCGCAGGGGTAGTCAGGCGCATGATCTCCTACGGGTTCGTGAGCTGTGCGCAGCAGCGTGCACTCGCGATACTGGTCCACGCTGCTGGGCGGCACTTGGCGAGCACCACCGCAGCCGAGTAGCGATGAGTTGTCGAGCTTGCTGCGCCGACGCCACTTTTTGCCGCCGCTGCGCCGGGGAAGTCCCAGGGAGAGTGTGAGGCAGAAAGAAAACAGGAAAAGACAAAAATAAATTCACACATATCCACGCGCATGCGCATGCACCTAGCCTGAATGTCTCCCACGCCAGCGCTTTGCGCTCGGCTTGCCGTGGCTGGGAAGCGCACGCTTCGCCTTGACTGCTGGCGACTTCCTGTGCTTCTTCTGGAACCAGCGGCGGCCGCAGTGAGAACTCGAAGACTTCCTTGGCACACTCTTCTTGTACCAGCTGCAGCCGCCGTGAGAACCCGACGACAGTCTTCGGCAGCCGCACTGAGAACTTGACGACTGTGTTGGCGCACTCTTCTTGAACCAGCTGCAGCCACAGCGTGCATGTGGCGACTTCTGGAACCGGCTGCAGCCGCCCTGAGCGCCCGACGACTTCCTGTATCTTTTCCAGTACCAGCTGCAGCCACAGTGAGCGCTTGAAACAGGCCGTGGTGTACTCTTCTTGAACCAGCTGCAGCTACAGCGAGCGCTGTACGACTTCTCGGAACCAGTGCAGCCACAGTAAGCACTTGACGACTCGCCTTGGCGTGGGCGCGCGGCGACGTTCTGTGTTTCTTCTTCTACCAGCTGCAGCCACTGAGCGCACAGTGAGCACCTGTTTTGCGCGGTCGTAAAATGCGCACGACAAATGATTCTTGAACCAGCCGCAGACACAGTGAGCAGTTCAAGACCAATTAGCTGGCCCTTGGACTCACACCGAAGCCTGCGGCCATGTGCCTTAACGCCTGTCTTGAATTAGGTGCCTGACGCGTGCAATCTACGCTTGTAGCCTTTGTAGGCAGGTTGATCCCCAACAGCCACGCAGCCTCGGCAGTGAGAGAGAAAGAAAGCATTGCATTGGTTTGCTAGTTTTTTTTCGCGTGCCTGCACGAAGAACTATGGAAAGCCGGCGCGCTCCAGCAGGGAGGCGGCGAACGCACGCTGTGCCGCGCGCGCAGCGGTCAGCAAAGCTGCGGGGACGTCGGCGGCAAGGTGCATTGCGAGCAGACGGGCGCAGGCTTATCTGCGTGCTCGCCGCTGTCTGCAACTTGACAGCAAACTTGGCCCTGAACCTCCCAGGGAAGCGTCACACAACGCAAATCTGCAGACACCAGCCCTGTGCGAGCCTGGCCTTGTGTGTTTGTTGCGGCTTGGTGATACTGCTGCGAACGTCCTCTTGAGCTTTACCGGAGAAGACTCACCAGCAGAGGCAAAGTACAGCGGCTAGCGTGTAAGCACACCTGCTGCTGCGAGCATGGCCCTGTCTGGACCTCCCCCCTCTCAGACCATCGGCGTTGACGAGTGTATTGCAGTCGATGAAACACCGCAAAAGAAAGGATGATTTGGGGCCTGGTCCAAGAGATGTTTACACACGGAAGTTGTTCACTGCATGAGTTATTGCTTTTTTTTGCTTGGCATTTATTATAATTGAATGTTGCATGGTCAATGTTTGGAACCGATTCCCAAGCCATGTGATGTTGCTGAAGTTTGGAAGTGGCGGTCCGTTGCAGCCTTACAAACTACCTAAATCACGCACAAAATGTGTGCCAATGCCGCATTCACCCGTTATTGACAAAGGACAAAGCCGTGATCAAGTGGCCGTAGCCAACGGACCGAACCTCCTTGGCTCAAACAGTTTCGGCTCAAGCGAAACTTCTGTGAGCTGTTGGGTTTTTTCTTCAACCTGAACTGCACCTTGGGTCCCCCAGACAAGTGGACGATGTAGGCTCCCGCAGCTTTGGGGCATCATGGGGCAGCGCCTGCTGAGGCCGCCCCGGATGATGGCAGCTTCCGCCCCCGAAACCTGCTTTCAGAGGTCCCGGACTTTTGCCGCGTGTGCCTGGAAGCCCTTCAACATGCGGCCCCGTTCCTTTCTTGTGCAGGCCGCTCCTTGCACCTAGATTGCATTGTTCAGCTGCGCACACAAGCTCGTGGCCAGTAAGCCTTCGTCTTGTTTTCGGAGATGATCATGGTTTTGAGTTCTGGAGACACTGATTGGAAACGGCACTGAATGGAGATAGCCTTTATGGATCGCAAGCCTTGATCTGCGAAAGGCCTCTGATCGGATTATGGCCCGTCTGACCATAATGTGCCAATACCACAGCTTAGTTCAGTGTCGATGCCGTACCATTTCAATTTGAAAGATGGGCGATAGATTCGATAGTTTTCAATCCAACGCGGACGGAAGCACAGCGATGTATTGAGCCCAAGGTTTTTCAACGCTGGCTTGGAACATGCATTCCGGAAATGGAAAGCCAAACTGAGATCACACAACGTTTGCCTGTTGGCCTCCATGTAATATTTGCAAATGACAAAGTATTGTATGCAAATACGTCCAATGAACGGGTGTTCATGATAGAACGTCTTCTTCAGGAGTGCTGCAAAAAGAACAAGGTATTCACAACTTGGTGGCAATTTATTTTGCGACACATCACCGAGTAGACTCAGAGAATACTGTGGCATGGTACACGTTCCAATGATAAGACCGTTTTGAAACCTTCAACTATGCCGCGTGTTGAGCCTCCTTGGGCCCTCTTTGAACCCGAACTGCTACCTGGGGCCTTCGCTCTAGGCTGTCACGCCGTGCGGCGGCAGATGGGTGCTCTGGGGCAGGGATACCCAGGATAAACAAACCCTGTGCCTTGCCTTCGCCCCCTGGCGCCACCCAGGCCACCATTTGGCTTTAGACCCTAAGCCGCCTTGACCCTTGCTGCCCGTGTTCGCTACCGTTCGATGTGCGACACGCCGCCCGACTATTCGCCAGGAAATGCTACACTGCTACACCTGTTGCACCAACGGCTGCTCCTCACGCACCTTCGCCGACCACCGCGCACTCCTCGCCTGCAATGCTGCCAGGCAGCGTCCCCACGGCGGCCCCCCCCCTCACGTCCTACCTTTGTGCTGCCCGCGCATCTATCTTGCAGACTCGGCACGGGCCGCATTTTCCGAAGCGTGGCAGGAGCTGCCAGACCGCCATATGCATTGGGCACCTGTACACCGCGGGCAGGATAATTCGTGGATTCCTGAATGGACGTGCCTTTGCTGCAACACCACAATCGATGCCTCACACCACCTGCTGCAGAACATTCCCGACCGACCTGTTTGCCCCACCCATGATGGGCCGCGACTCCTCGCGTTAGACCTGCGGGAAGGAGCCGCGGCTGGGTGTGTGCCCGCGGGACCCCGCCACAAATCCTGCCATGCACACCTGCTCGCATCCTGGAGCCTGAGCCCGTGGACCTTCCACCAGACCAGCCACCAAGGGAACGCCCATGGACACGCGTGGGCGTCCTCCTGCAAGCAGCCACGCCAGCCCGACGCACAGTTGGATCTTTGTTCCGCTGTTGCACGCTGCCGTTGGCAGACTACAGCCCCAATGCGAGCAGCAATGGGCGAGTCATGCGAGCTTGGGCGCCACTTGGACACGCTCCCTCCATGGCCCTCCGCTTGGCCGGCCATGCTCCGCCACACTCACTCACTCACGCCCTTCACGTTTCGCAGCAATTAGCGGCCGCCCCGTGCCTGGGCAGGAAGCACAGCTGCTCCTCAGCCTCGCGCCGCAACCGTGCGTTGCCCTCGAACACTCTCGTGCACTTGCCATGGGCGTCGGCTCAGCTTGTCCTGCCCGACGGGTACATACCGGCCATTGCCCAAGAAGCACTGCTCCACGTGTACCTCGGCGAATCAGGGGCAGCTTAACTTGTGCAGCAGGTTGCCGACTCGCAAGCCCCACCTGAACCCTCTCCACAGCACCCGCCAAGCTCCGCGCAGCCCGCTGCTGCCTGCCCGAGCTCCGCGTCCGAGTCTTCTTCCTCAAGCAGCTCGCATTCCAGCTCTGCAGCTTCCCGCGTGCTCGAACAGCCCCCAGCACTGCGCCGGCTTCGGAGCAGCCGCCCGCAGCAGACCGTCAACCATCGGAATCCCCTCACCCCCCTCCCCCTAGTGCTTCGGACACCTTGCAGGGACCACGCTTGCAAGCAGCCTTGGCTAGTCTCGACCCTTTCTCTGCCGAGGATGTCTTGCTGCAACCTTGTAACATGTCCCGCAGCCCGCCAGCCTTTTGCAAAGTACAGCTACGCTGGGCCATCATTGTTGCTCTCCACCTGGTCCGTGATGCTTCGGGTGCCAGTCCCTCCAGCCAGACGCTGGCGTCCCCAGCTTGCGCCCGTGCTTGGAAAGTGTGGTTGTTTCTGCCTCGCATAGTCCTATTCGAACCAGCACGATCACCCAAGGTGCCGAAACGACTGGCTGCCCTTCGCAAGCCCTTTGGGCGTGCCCGCGTGCTGCGGAGGCTTGTCGCTCGCACCTTCTCGAAACAGCTTGATGCAGTTTGCCACCCACACCACTATGCACTGTCGACGAGGACAGGAGCGGAGGCGCTCCGCCACACCCTGCAAGCCAAAACTCAAGCTGACCCTAACCTCACGGTTTTATCCGTTGACATCCCGGCAGCTTTCGACTTGTCACCCAGGAGGCCATGCTCTTTGCGCTACACGAGGTGCCGCAAGCCTCAGCCTTGTTGCCGTTTGTGCGCCTCTGGTACGCCCGCGAGTCTGTGTATGTTTGGGCGGCTGGCTCGCAAGCTCACCGCATCACCCAAGCTGAAGCCGGCGAAGAAGGCGATCCACTCATGCCGGCATGATTTGCCTTGGCGTTTGCACCTGCCCTCCGCGACTTGCATGCACACCTCCGGCCTGACGAGCAAGCCATGGCTTTCCTAGATGACGCATACATCCTCGTCTCCACCTCGCCGTGCGCTCCACCGGTACCGCCTTTTCGAGGAGCATGCAATGCGTCGTGCCCAGCTCCGCCTCAACCCTGGTAAAGACCCGCGTTTGGAACAGCGCCGGAGTCGACCCTGATAGTGTCGATTCGCTCGCGCCCGATAGCGACGTTTGGGTCGGCAATCTCGCCTTGGATTCCGCCCAGCGTGGCTTTATGTGGCTTGTTCGCACTGAGTGCGGTATTGCCGGTAGCTGCTGTTTTCTGATACCATGACTTCCTCGAGCTGTTTTGTGCTCAGATGTGGGAAAAGGCCCTGGTCGGGCTAGCCGTCCCGTTAGGTAGGTCTCTCGAGCCATCGCGTCCGGAGCTCTCGCTGCACCATATTGTGATCCTTGTGAGTGCATCTGTGTCGTGAATCTGGAAGAGACTGAAACGAGCAGGGATGCCAGCGGCCTTTCAGGAGCCGCGTCTACTGTGGCTGCAGTTGGGGTCAGCAACGGAATCACGGGCTGTCTGGTGTACTTCTTCTGTAGAAGGCGGGCCAAGAGTTCGCCGCCGGAAGAGCCAGGGACTTCCTCCAGTCCCCGTCGCCGCGGTGGAGGAGTGTTAGAAGATGAGGCTGGGAACTCTGCTTCGGGTTTGGTACTCCGACGACAACGTGTGGCATGAGAGAGTGGTGCTACTCGAAGGCCGGGGTCCTGACGTCTTTTCTCCAGACGATGATGTCTACCAGGAGGATCTGGGGGGAGCTGCCGTAGACGGCCCTGAAAAGGTCCGGGAGATCCCCTATGGTACTCGTACCCGCTACTCGAAGCCAGTCTACAAGTTTCGTGTGGACATTGATGAGAGCTTCATTCGCGGGAACGTCCGGAGAGCTTGGGAGGATTATGTGACCACCTATGGTGTCGCCCCTGAGACTGACGGCCGGGAGTTGCCGGAAGGCGGCTCCTTGCCTTTGAGCGCACTGGCTCCAGGGAAGAGTCGCAGGCGCCTGGTCGCAAAGGGGCCCCAACTCAGGTCTGGGAATGCTCCAGCTGGGCAGTCGTGGCGAAGCTCGGAGACGCGAGGTTTGGTTCAGCTAGGGGATCGGCTTGTCTTTTCGGATGCGACAGATGTGGTGCTCGGCCCTAACGATGCGGCTTTCCTGAGGGAGGGCAAATGGCTGCGGGGAGAGATCGTGGAGGACAGCCTCCTGGATGATTGGATCTCCGTGCGGCAGGCGGAGCTGGGACATCAGAGTGCTGCAACTGGTGAGCAAGCGGATCATCAGATGGAGCCCATGCCCAAGGAGCAGGAGGAACGTGACCTTCGCATATTGCCGGTGCTTTTTGATAGCGCAGAGGAGCGGTGGAGGACATTGTCCGAAGCTGTTCCACTTTACGAGGAGGTGGACTTCGATGACTTCCCGCTGCAAGGACCCAGGACGATGCATCGGGACGTAAGACAATTGCGTCGTATGGGGATGGATTTTGTTCAGCACCACGAATCCTGGATTAAGACATCCGGTGTTAGAGCGACAGACCGATCAGTTCATGAACATGCCTCGATTTGCCGCGTGCTGAACTTCATGGCGTCGTACGACCAGCTGAACATCGTCTCGCTTGCATCTGCTGAAACTCTCAACCGTGGCCGGGCACTGATCGAAGTGGCACACCAGGGGAGGCCGGAGGCCCCCTCGTATGAGAGCGCCGAGGACATAATGGGGGTCCGCCCTCACTCATCATGCAGCTCGTCGCCAAGCCGCCAAGGCTGAGATCCTGAAGCAGACGAGGCTGGCTGCTGAAGAACGTCGCCATGCCAACAAGCGCTTCGATGAGGGCGACAAAGGCGGCAAGGGCGACAAGGGTGGCAAGGCAGGAGGCAGGGCCATAGACAAGAGCCAAGGCGCCCCCTGAATTGGGGGGCGGTGGGATGGGGGAAGGCGTCAACCATTCTGCCCAGGAAGCTTTTAACGCCAACCAGTTTTCAAGCCGGCAGCAAGATTCGGCGATCTTTTTCCTTTACCTTTGTCGGCAGAGCTTGGGTACCCCGGTCTCGTCAAGGACCTTCGTTCTAGGCGTTCTCGTCAGCGGGTTGGTAGGCGAAGGGCCTTACTGGCTCGCGAGGACGAGGCGGTGAGGGCTCTGAACGAGATCTGCGGCTTCCCCGACGTGGGAGGCTGGCCCACTGGATGTTTGAACCAGGCCCAGCGCTCGGCTACTGCACGCATCCGCCGCGCGCTCGTTGAGAGAGCGCCGGCGCCCGAATCAATGTCCCCGCAGGAAGCGTTGCGACAGCTTCTGCGTAAGGCTGGGTCCTTTTATGGAGAGGGGCAGCCGGGGCAGGTGGTTCCATACCTTCGAGAGCGGTTATCTTTGCCCCGTGATCAAGATGATCCCGTAAAGCTACGTGAGCTGTTGCCCCTCCGTGAGGCGGGTGTCCTCGACAACTTCCGCGAGGAGATGATGTTATGGAGCGAGAGAGACTCAGACCTGAAACAACCGTCTTCGGTCAGTAGTGAAAAGGAAAGACGCATCACACCTACGGCGATAAGCGATCCCTTGCTAGAGCAGAACCCGCTTAAGTATCACCAGTTGCTTGCAGACCTGTACGGTGCGAGGCTCATTGACTTCACCATTAGCCCAAAGGTCCAGGTAGGTCTCTTCTGTGTCAGCAAAAAAGCCCAGAAACAACGATTAATCGTGGATGCTAGAAGGACGAACAAGCTTTTCCGGAAGCCCCCGAGCACTCCCTTGGGATCCGTTGAGGCTTGGAGTCGAGTCGAGAGCGATGCGGAGGTTTTCTTTGCGCAAGAGGATGTCAAGGACTTCTTCTATCGCCTGCAAATCTCGAAGGGGTTATTTAAGGGAGTACTTTGCCTTGCCAGCCCTCGACTTGGCTGTCCTGAAGGAGGTGATGGGCAGTCTCCCTGAGGAGGTGCAGCAGTTGGCCTCCAACCACGAGGCCCCCATACATCCGCATTTCTGCGTTCTGCCCATAGCTCGTGGGCCTTTCACCTCGCGCATGAAGCGCACAAGGAGCTGGCTATCCGGACCATCCCCGATACCAAGTTCATTGAGGACAGGCGCCCTGCACCTAGAATGGGCCTCGACGGGGTTCGCTCTGCTACTCTGATTTACGCTGATAACGCTAATCATTGTGGAGTCGAACGAGGCCGGGTCACAGAGGAGCAGGAGTGCATGATCAAGGCACTACATCAACATGGGCTGGACACACACGACCATGTATATAGCACTACGCTGGCAGAAAGTTTGGGGGTGAGGGTGGATGGACTCAGCGGCCAGGTTGGGCCCACGGCTGCCAGGGATTGGCGGCTCGACCGGGCTTTGGAGGCGTGCCTGAGTGCGCCACGGTTGTCGGGAGCCGAGATGCAGATCATTGTCGGCCACCTGACCGTCCCCTCGCTGGTGCACCGGGGGCTCATGTGCTTGCTCAGGCACGTCTATGTGTTCATCGAGGAGATCTATGACAAACGCACTCGCCTTTTTGGCCCAGTGTGGTGCAAGAACTCAGATGGTTCAGAGCGTTGATGCCCTTGGGCACATCAAACATGCTTAGCCCGTGGAGCTGTAGGGTTGATGCGAGCCTCACCGGCTATGCGGTCTGTGCTGCTGATTTGTCCGGAGAGGAGGCCAGGCAGCTGGTACACGAGGACGAAAGATGGCGATTCTATCGGGGAGACGGCGAACGGCTTGCCCCGAGGATCGCAGCTCTGGATACAAGTGCGGTCTTTGACGAGGTGGGCACAGTGCGGCCGATCACCGTGGGACGCCCCCAAGAGACACTAGAAGTGAATCCAGAATTTCCTGAGGTGTCCGGTGAAGTGCTACGGGAAGATCGCTGGCACCAGCTCTGGAATTCCAGGTTCCACCACAAGGACCCGATACATGTACTGGAGTGCCGAAGCATCCTTAGCGCAGTCAAGCACCTTAGCAGGGACTCCAACAATCACGGCAAGAGGTGCATCATTTTGAATGACAACATGGGAGTGGTTCTAGCGGTGTCAAAAGGCCGGTGCAGCAACTATCACCTGCTCCGTCTGCTCAGACGGGTTGCGGCTCACAGCTTAGCGACGGGCATTCGATTATGCCCGCGGTGGATCCCCTCGGAAATGAATGCTGCTGACGCGGGCAGCCGTGAGTGGGAGCCGCCCAAAGCAAGCGTCGGGATCGGCAGAGCAAAGATCATCAGCTCGGGACGTCGCCATCTTCTCAAAAAGGGAAGCTCTAGCCGCGAATGCGCGGGCGAAGAGCCCCCCGACGAGCGAGGAGGTGGCCTCATCAAGGAAGAGAAGCCGGTTCAGCTCGCCGGCTTGAAGGCGGCATCGAAGAAGAGATCGAACGCAAGACAGCGACAGAAGAAGTATGGCCGGAGACTCAGGGCCTCCTTGGGAGAGAAATCGCTGCTGGAGATGGGGAGTGTCGCGGACGCGACCCGGAAGGACTACGGAAACAAGCTCTCAGGGTTCTTCGGGTTCGTAATCTTTCACGTCCTGGACATAGGGACCGAGGCAAAGCTGGACATAGCGCTCCTCGAGTACTGCGACTTCCTGTTTCTGAACGGCGAGGACGCGAACTGTGGACAGAAGCTCCAGGCGGCTTTGGAGTACGAGAGACCGGAGGCTGCCCGCGAGGGGCGGTTGCGGCTCCCGCGTTTCCGGAGGGCGCTCAAAGGGTGGCGGAAGCTGGCGCCACCGCAGACGCGAATGCCTATGCCGGAATTTCTCAAGGGAGCGGTGAGTGGCGCAGTAGTGGCGCCATGTTGTACCTGAAAAGGAAGGACATGGCGCTCTTCAACGAGGTGAGTTTTTCGACCTACGCCAGGCCAGGCGAGCTCCTAAAAATGAAAGCTGCGGATTTTGTGGAAAGCAATCGATCCTACCACCACTCCGTTTTGGTAGTGGCACCGCTGGAGCGCGGAGAAGGATCGAAGACTGGAGTTTACGACGAGGTTCTCATCTTGGAGGATGTCAGGGCTCCATGGATTCCTCACATCCTGCAGCTGCACGTGCGGGAACGCTTGCGACTGGGGGAGGATGCCAACCTGTGGGGCTTCTCGGCGGCCGAGTACCTTCGCGTCTGGAGGGTGTGTGTGCAGGCCTTGGGGATTCAGGATGTGGCTCGCAGTCCATACCAGAATCGGCATGGAGGTGCTTCCAGAGACCATCTCCTCAAGCTGAGGTCGGTCCCCTCTATCCAGAGGAGGGGCAGGTGGGCCGTCGACGCGAGTGCCCGCATCTACGACAAGCCCGGGAGGCTGCAGCAGATCATCAATCGCTACAGCAACAAGTGGGAAGCCTTCGGAGAGAGTGTGAGGATGCACTTTCCCCAATGGTACCAGAGTGGTTCGGCAAGGATCCCCCAGGATTTGAAGCTCAGCCTAAAAAAGCTGAACAAGGAGTCCGATTGCCCGCCAAGAAGTTTCTGAGCCTCTTCGGAGGCGTCGCGGAGGCTGCCAAGTGGCTTGGGCGCAATGGTGGAATCTCCGCGGTGCTGGATCTGAGTGTTTCTGAAACAAATGATTTGAGCAAGCCTTCCCAGTGGAACCGTATCTTGAGATGTGTTCACATGTTCGATGCAGTGGGCATCGATCTACCGAGTGAAACGTGGAGCCGAGCTAGACGCGGCCCAAAGGTTTCCTTCATGCCGAGTCCAGTGAGGGGCGAGCACGGCACAGACGTTTTTGGCCTCCCTCACCTCGGCATTCGAGACTACCAGAAAGTGCAGAGTGCCAACAACATGCTTTTCGGTGCATTGCGGGTCATACGTAAGTGCCTCAAAACAGGTATCAGCGGTTACCTTGCAAACCCTCGGCACTCACAAGCGTGGCGTGTTCCTGCAATCCAACGTGTCATGCAGGACCCTCGAGTCTTCGTGGTGCACACCGACCTGTGCATGTTTGGCACTCAGTGGAAAGCGCCCACTACCCTGCTCATGTGGGGAGTCCCTCCAGTTTCGCTGCCGCGCTGCTGGGGAAAGGGCCTTTGTGATCGAACGCATCGACGGCATCTTCAGCTTAGCGGGGTATCCAGAGGACGCTTTCTTTCAGCACGTGCACAAGTTTACCCCAAAGCCTTCGGACAAACCTTGATGCAGATTTTAACTGGTCCCACCCTCCCGCCCCAGGGCCATACTGGTAATGGGTGTGGGATGGATGCCTTTTACATGTAAATCCGCTTTCGCTTGTGTGGAGCTCGGGCAGCAAGCCCTCGCCTCAGCATACAGATGGACGCGCCTGTGGTGCGCACGAAAACATGCAGGTGCGGCCATTTGTTGTGGACTAGTTTGCAGCTTTAGGCATGTTCGCACTGAGTGCGGTATTGCCGGTAGCTGCTGTTTTCTGATACCATGACCTCCTCGAGCTGTCTTGTGCTCCCTCCCACCCTCCCGGGATGGATGCCTTTTACATGTAAATCCGCTTTCGCTTGTGTGGAGCTCGGGCAGCAAGCCCTCGCCTCAGCATACAGATGGACGCGCCTGTGGTGCGCACGAAAACATGCAGGTGCGGCCATTTGTTGTGGACTAGTTTGCAGCTATAGGCATTGTTGTGCTTGGAGTACGCCTTGGCACACCGGAGTTCGTTGCAGCATTCTTGAGGCTTGCTTGCCAAACAGAGGGTCCTCTCGACCGCCTTGTCATTGTTGCTCTTTGCCGAGACTCAGGTAGCGTGACTGTTGCTGTCTTCCTCTGCTGCCCCGCGTGCACAGTACGTGCTGCGCACATTGCCCCCAAAGGATATGCGAGCGTACGCCGCTGAGCACAAGGCTGCTGTCCTCTCTAGCCTGGATGCCTTGTTGCATGGCGATGCTGCTTCCGGCTTGCCTGCCTTGGCTGCCGCACGTGCCCAACTTGCACTGCGCCACGGTGTGCCTGCCTCCTCTCGCATGTTTGCCTTTGCTTCCCGCTGGTCAGCCCTACTTTCCTTTGCGGCTGCCCGCGCCTTTGCCGCAAGCCTCCTCTCCTTCCTCCTTGGCTGTTGGGGGCCCCGAGCCCACAACCTTCCTGAGGCTCCTCGCACGGGCGCGAGCTGGGCGTGCGCACGCTGCTGTTCCTGCAGAACGAACGCTGGCTGCACGCCCCTGCCCCCGGAACTCTGCGGGGGGATGGTGACTGCTTCGCGAGTAGGGCGGACTGTAAAGCAGCAGGCGGCATGTGGCCCAGCCTGCGACAGCAGCAGCGCTCGGGACGCGGAAGACAAGGTGGCGAAATGCGTCTCGAACGCGCGCTGGTCACAGGCGCGGGCGGCGTGCCGCTGCCAGCCTCGGAGACGGTGCCCTGGCTGGTCGTGGACATGTGCGTGCGCTGGGCTATCCCAAGCGGGGACGTGGCAGCCCTGAGCGGTGAGGCTGCAGGAGGTTGTCGGCGATCTGCGGGGAGCGAGCTCGGATTGCTGGCAGTGTGTCGAGCCCAGAGGCGCAACACGCGGCATGGCGGTCGGCGGTGGCCGAGCACAGCCAATCTCTCCTTGCCCCTTGGCGACACGGCTAACGTCGATGGAGAATGCCCACTGCTGAGCGACGTCCTCGCAGACTCCTTCCTTGAGCCGCCGCTTGCAAGCCGCTGCGCTGGGACCACCTAGCTTGCGACGCCGGCAACAGGGTGTGGAAGAAGAACAAATGAAAGCCCAAGCGTTTGCGCCACACTTCCAGCGTCTTTGTCTCCCGCACCAGTTTGGCCTGAGCACGCGAGCTGGCACCGAAGCCCTTGCCAGGGTGTTGCGAGCCGCCACAGAGCTCGATCAGCGTGCAACCGTGTTGTCCGTTGACGCCGTCGGCGCGTTCGACCACGTCTCCCGAGAAGCCATGCTCGGTGCCCTGCTCCGTCACCCTGACCTGCGACCACTCGTGCCCTTCGCCCGTCAATTTTACGGCACGCCCGGCTCCTACACGTGGACAGATGACTCCGGCCGTAGCCACCTCATCGCTCAAGGCGAGGGTGACAGCCCGCCCTGTGCGAGGTCCAGGCCCAGCTGCGTGACGGAGAAGCCATTCTCGCGTTCCTCGACGACACGTACGTCGTTGCCCCCCCAGACCGCGTACGCCCACTGTACGATGCATTCCGCGCCGCCCTGTGGCGACATGCCCGTGTGGAGCTCAACCGTGGCAAGACCCGTATATGGAATGCGGCTGGGGAGGAGCCGCCAGGAATCGCCGACCTGCAGAGTGACTCCGACGCTGTCGTATGGACAGGCGACTGGTCGCTTCACCCTGACCAACAGGGCCTCCTCGTTGTGGGCACACCACTTGGGAGCGACGCATTCGTGCAGCGGCAGCTTGAGCTCAAACGGGTTGAACACGACAGACGGCTCACGCGCATCCCCGCCGTCGAAGACCTGCAGGCTGCCTGGCTCCTGCTACGCTTTTGCGCCTGTCCTCGGGCCAACTACCTCCTCCGCATGTTACCGTCTGCTGCCACTTTGCCCTTTCCTCGAGCGCACGACGGTGCTTTTGACAGGTGCCTGTTTGCCCTGCTCGGCTCTGCGGACGCCCCGCTGCCTGAGCTTTCCACGCGCAGCGCCCGTCTGCCACTGCAGCGCGGCGGGCTGGGCCTGCGAGCGGCCACGCTCGACCGGCACGCCGCGTACTGGGCGTCCTGGTTTGACACGTTGCCCGTGCTCCGGGACCGCGTGCCTGCAGCCGCAGCGCGGTTCCTCACCTTGCTCGCAGACCCTGAGGCCGGCCGTGTGCCGGTCGTCGCGGCAGCGGCCCAGGCTGCAGCTCACCTGGTCGGACAGGGCTTTCGCACCCCTGCTTGGGACACCGCCCTCGGCAACGCCGCTTTTGCGCTTGACACGGCCGTCGAAGACGGCGATGGGACTACTTGCGTGGCTGGCAACGCCGGGCTAGCCGAGCCTGCGACGAGCGCGCGCTCGAGACGCACTTTGCTGACCTGTCGCCTGCGTCTCGTGCCCTGCTGCTCTCCCGGGCCGGGCCACACTCCGGCCGTGTGTTTACGGTCCTCCCCACCTCCGACGATGTCACTATCGCCAGCGCACAGTTCCGGGTCCTGCTGCTCCGACGGCTGCGCCTTCCCTTAGCGCTCTGCCCCCGCACTTGCCGCTGCGGCCGCAGCCTCGACCCTCTGGGCGACCACCGAGCCGCCTGTGCCACCTCGGGTGTCCTCCCGACCCGGGCGCTGCCGCTCGAGCATGCCCTTGCTCGTGTCTGCCGCGAGGCCGGAGCGCGTGTTGCGCGCAATGTTCGCGTCGCTGACATGAACATTGATGTGCCAGTCAGCGACGCCAGGAGGATCGAGGTCGTTTGCAATGGCCTGCCGGCCTGCCCCTCTGGCACGGAGCTCAGCTCGCCGTCGATGCGATCTCGGTTTCCCCGCTCACGCGCGACGGCCTGCCACAGCCCGCGACCGATGCGCAACCGGGCGTTGCGTTAGCCCGCGCGGCGCAGCGCAAGCGCCGGCACACCTATCCGGAGCTGCTTCGAGCTCGCCGCTGCCGCCTCGTCGTGTTCGGCATCGAAACTGGTGGGCGCTGGAGTGAGGAAGCCGCGACCTTCCTCCGACTTCTCGCGCAGGCCCGCGCAGCCAGCGCACCTGTCGCCGTCCGCCGCGCTGCTCAAGCCGCTTGGGTGTACCGTTGGAGCGGCATCCTCTCCGTTGCCGCGCAGCGAGCCTTCGCCACTTCGCTGCTCGAGGTTCCCGCTGCCGCAGAGCTCGGTGCTGCTGGTGACCCACCAGCTTTGCACGAGCTCCTGGCCGACGCACGCTGGTTGCAGGCCCCCGCTAACAGCCGCCTCCCAGCCCGCCCTGCTTAACCCGTAGACAGCAGTTTGCACAGGGACCGGACCTAGTACCTCTGGTGCTGTTGCAAAAAGGGGCGTTAAAAAACAAAAAAAGAAAAAAAAACTGCAACGACTTTTCTCGCTGGCGACAGGCTCGGCCACAGGCATGTTGCAAAAGAACGTTGCCACAAGTAACGTTTCTCGAGGAGGGCTCAAGACCACGTCTGCAGCAAAGTGCTAGACAAGGCCGAGTTCGCGGACAGCCTGTGCTCGCAAACTCGCCACCGTACTGTGCCTCTGCCGGGCAGGGCAGTCTTCTCCGGGAAGGCTGACGAGCACGTTTTGCTGCAAAGCCTTTGCACTGTAGCAATCAGACAAGGCCAAGCTATGCCAGGCTCGCACAGGGTTTGAGTTCTTTTTTCAAAAATTCTTTGTGTTTTGTAATTTCGCCGCCGTGCCTCGGCTCTGCAAAAGGAAGCTGCTTCTGGAGGCGTAGAACCACGCTTTCGCCTTCGCCTGTTCGAGTTATATCGAAACACCACAGCAACGGTACTACAAGGACATGGGGATGTTGGTAACGACAAGATACAAAGATTCAAAGCACCATGCGTTATCTGACAAACTCGCGTGCTTTGAATTTCCATACATTACATGTTGCCACGTTGGTCCAGCAAGGTGCGCAGAACGAGCGGAGTCTATCATCCAATCTTGACCAGGGCCGACCAGGACGAACCGACATGAAGTAAAGTTCTCTGTCCAATTCATTGCCGGATGCTAGGTGCAAACGTGCCGTGTCCAGCTGTCAGACTCAGAAATTTGGGATGCAAAATGGCACTGACTTCTGGCCAATCTTGTGGTCCACATTTCCACGGAATAGTGTTTAAGAGCTTGTTCCACACGCAATTTCATACGTTTCATGGTCTCAGGCAACAGTTCGTCGGCCATGCGGATCCATCCTACAATGGACCGAAGCGGGCGTTGCAGCACAATATCCATTTTCTGTAGTTGCTGCTGTGTCAACGGAAGAGTGTGCTACCCATGTAACACAATCAACATGAAGGTGGCGTCGAATAGCTTCAGTCGGAGTTTGATGGATACTTCTCTGTTTGTCAACGCTTGAATGTCTTATTTTTTCTTTTCCTACAACGCACCTTTCTACCAGCGTTCCAAGCGCGGCAGTCCCAGTGCAGACCCAAGTCCAGGCCGGTTGCGCGCTAGGGCGTCTAGGGAGTCTGGGGCATGCGGCTTGCAAGGGGCGGCTCAAGGGGGGAGTCAGCGAGGATGTTACTGAGCAGTGGGGACTCGCCATCGACATTGGCTGTGCCGTGCCGGCACAGCCGCCCACCTCGACAGCGAACACCACGAGGTGGCAGCGCGGCGAGCGCGCAAGCTCGGGGTACTGTCGCGTCGCTTGCGCCACGTGGCATGCTGTGGGGCGAGGCCGGGTTGACTATCGGCTCGTGGCCGCGGCTCGCCGGAGCGAGTGACTCGGCTGACGCAGGTTGTGTCGACTGCAAGAGGCAGGCCGTTGCAGACGATCTCTATCCCGGCGGGCGGTCGGGCACAGGGGTGGAGAGGTTCATGTCTGCAAGGCGCACGTTTCGAGGCGTTGCAGGCTGGATGCAAAAAAAGGCGCACGTTTCGGGCGACGCGAGCGCCGGCCTCTTGGCAGACTCGAGCGAGGCGCCGAGCAGGTCAAGCAGACCACGGCAGGCGCAGAGCCGGGGCGTGAGCGGCAGCCCTAAGCGCAGACGGCTCAGGGGAAGTACCCAGCCGGCTCCCGCTGCGGACCACGTAGACTCTGCAGGTGCACTGGGATCGCGCTTGTACTGGTCGCACAAAGTGTGCGTGCAACAAAAACAAAGGAGAGAAGGCTTGCAGCAAGGGCCGGGGGCAGCCGCAAAGGAGAGCAAGGCTGAAAACCAGAGGTAAAGGCCGAATCGCCCGGAGGAATCGGAAGACGGTGCAGTTTTCGCACGGAGGTGCGCACGAAGTTTGACGGAGGTGGCAGCGTCAGGGGTCCAGCGGCCTCCGAGCTCGAGAGCGAGGGCGACGAGTTTGCATTGGACAGACTGTGTGAGCTCAGAGTATAGGTGCGCTCCTCGGCTTTGCGAGCGGTTGCAAGCGCAGCGCCGTCGGTGCGACGGTGCGACCGGAGCAGCATCATGGCCGTCGCGGGAAACGGCGGAGGTAGGCTTGGCTCCGCGGAACTCTGCATGCAATGAGAAATCTCGGAGCCATTTCTCTTTCTGCGTGTGTCCGGCAGCTGCTCAGCTCCCGCGCAGTGCTAACAGGCATCAGTTTGTGTGAATCCTGTTGCCACTGGTTCGTCGGGGGAGGGTGGACCTCAGACCCTCCCCCCACAACGGGGTATACTGATTGGCTGACCGCTACCACAAGCGAGCCCACCACCACGCTGCCACCAGGACATTCAATGCGATCCTCTTTTCGCCAATCACGGTAGTGACGGGTCTCGCCCAATTCTGCGCGGCTCGCACCCCCACTGCGCGTACACGGAAACGCACACGCGCACGCACACGCACCGACACAGATAGAGTATGATAGAGTTGTTTCGCGGATTGCATCCGCATGTAGCAGCCACTCCGCACGAATCGCAATCGCGGAAACTCGGGCCATCTCTCCCTGCCTCCCCGGTTCGAAGCGGACACGCCCAGCCGTTTGGCATAGCAGTCGCGCCAGGCCGGACATGTGCAAGTCTTGTTGTTAGTTTTTGTGCGCTCGTTGACGAGTTCATTCAAACTCTCCAGGCATTTCTGCAACGCCGGAGGCGCCATGCCGTGCGAGACCAACCGCGGGCACCCCGAGCTTGACACCAAGTCAGGAGAGAAATGGTTTCTACATGTTTCTACAACAATCATCTACAATCGAAACCCCGAGACCGAAGTCCAACAGAAAAGGTCCCGACTGCAATGTTGCATTCTTGCGTGTTTAGTCGTAGTTTAGTGTTCTATGAGCATGAAATAACAAGTTTCTAGATGGTGTTCTACTGCTTTGTCAAAGGTCGACAGTGTAGCTTAAGGCATTCGTACAGGTATTGCATGATTTCTTGGGTGCCCTTGAAAGTTTCACGTTGTTCTTATGGCATCCTGAGAAGTTTTGCCCGAAAACAATCCGAAACGTATCCCGTATCGCCGAGCATTCTCAAAGACTTCACGTGATCTCATCGATGATGCGAGGGTGCTGATTGGTGGTATATACATACATTAGACAGGAAGACGATATTTGTCGTGGAAAACCCTAGACCTAAAACCGCACCAGAAAACTGCCTCAGCAATGCAGGAACCAAAATTCCGCAATTTTTACATGTTCAGTCAATCCTAACCGTGTTTTTTACGGCGGTTTCCAGCTCCCGCACGATTTTGCACTGGTGGCTTACAACCGTGCACGTAGGCTTCAGAAACAACAGAACGGGTAAAAGAGGCTGTCAGAAACCATGGTCGGTAGTCCCCGTCGTGGTTGTAATGGCAGAGGTAGTAGTCGTCGCCCCCATCGTGGTAGTCGTAGCTCGTAAAAAAAAAGTTTCGTAGGCGGAGTAAGCAATCGTGATAAAACACCGTAGGAGTGGAGTAGTAGTAGGAGTAGTAGTAGTAGTAGTAGCAGTAGTGGTGGTGGTGGTGGTGGTGGTAGCAGTAGCAATAGCAATAGCAGTACCAGTACCAGTAGCAGTAGCAGTAGCAGTAGCAGTAGCAGTAGCAGCAGTAGCAGTAGTAGTAGTAGTAGTAGTAGTAGTAGTAGTAGTGGCAGTGGTGGCGGTAGTGGTAGTGGTAGTGGTAGCGGTAGTGGTAGTCGTAGTTGGTGGTCGTCGTCAGCCTAGTCCAGGCCCCATTGCGGCATGGGACTTCCAGTTGTGGTATCGGGCTTCATGTTGTTGTCGGGACATGTCGCGGGAAAAAAGGTGGAGGAGTGGGAGTGATGAGTACCGAACGGTAATGAGCGGTCTGTAACGGTCTGACCGTTTGGTGCTTGTGTGTGCTTATTTTCTTTGTGCAATTTTGTGCATATATGTGTATATATAGTTCTTTTTTATTGTCTCTACCTGTCTCTCCCTTTCCATCATTCGTTGTGGACATGCATGTATTTGTATTTACCTGTATGTTGCAAGTACGCACGTAGGTATGCCCGCACGTTTGTTCGATCGTAGATATGTATGCAGGTACGATCATGTACGTGTACGCGAGTGCTGCACGTTGCCGTCATGCAGCCGTGCTTGTCCTGTGCATACTTCAGCATGAATTTGTGTATAAATTCTTGCTTGCATTTCTTACCACATCTGAGGTCCGGAGCCCCTCACGGAGCAGGATGCCCGTCAGATTAGCTCAGTCGAAGCGAGACATGTTTTTAAGGCAACTCGGCGTGCGGAAGCAGCAAGTCATGTCCTGTGTCCGCAGGCCGCGCCAAAGCTTTCCCGAAGATTGTGGACACCGTGACTTTGCGGCATTGGTTTCGATGTGGCAAACGTTGATACTCAGTCGCGGGGCAGCACTAACAAAAACAACCCAATCTCACATGCATGTCGTTAGCCATGTAATTAAGTGGCGATGCACAGAACCTGTTCTCGGGTCGCAGTTACGAAAATAATGTGCGCTTGGTTGCGAAGGAGCTATTCGAAGGAGCTATTACAGCTATTCTTCACGGCTACTGAGTTACTGCGACTGCTGCGCGACTCTTGCTGCCCCTTGCTTTTGCCTCTGCGCTGCAACAACTAGTGCACCTCTCTGTTCCCTGCATATCTCAGTGGATCTCTCCTGCCGGATTGATTGCTGCTAGCCGTTGGGTGGCCGATGTCCGAGTCCGGTTGGGTCATGTCGCCGTTGCCTCATGAGCTCTTTCCCGGAGATCGACCTCAGGAGAACTTGAACCCTGGTCTCGGCTTCGCGGCCATGCGCATCGGTTACGGCACACGCACTGGGAAGCTCGCGGCGAACACAGGCCGTGCGGAACGGTCACGCGAGTTGGAAGTCTGGTGGGGACACCTCCCGTGCAGCAGGTATGGCAGCCCGTTCGCAAAGGCTAGCATCCGCAGGGCCTGCAGGACAGCTTGGATACAAGCTGAACAAGCATGAAGAGTGAAGGGGAGTTTTCAGATGTGTTGAAGATGGCTGAACAGGAAGGCGGCCACTGGCGAGCCTGTCCGATATCACGAACCTGCAGGATGCACGGGAAGGGAGGAAGAAGCTAGCACGACCTCCTCAGAACCAACTTGGCCAAGTCGGCCAGTTCGGCCACCTTGGACCCGGGCCGGCTCCCGCATTGCGGGCTCCACGGCCCTCTGCCAATGCTACGCTGCCGAGCACTGCGGAGCAGCAGCCCGTGGCCATGGAGGTTAGCAGCCCAGAAGCCGCCACGGAGGCACCTCCAGGAAAGCCTGAGCTTCGCCTGTTTGCCGTAGCCCTCAGCGCAGCCACCTCGCAGGCACACAAGCGATCACAGTCCGCAGCGGAGTATGTGCCCGAGATTATGGAGCGCTTGTTTGAGGAGGCACTCGAATCACTCGAATCCCGCAACGCCTTGCAGTAAATACGGAGGGATACGCAGTGCCAGGAAGCAGCTTTCCTGCCTCGACCTTCGTACATGGAGACGCAGCAAGACATCAATGGCAAGATGCGGGCAATTCTCGTTGACTGGCTGGTGGAGGCTGGAGCCCGACAGGCTGCTAACAGCTAACATAATGAGAGAAACCCACAGCATAAGACAAGAAGCCATGATCGTGTGATTGTTCTGCCCAGGTTCACATGAAATATCGCCTGCGCGCAGAGACGCTCTTCTTGGCGCTCGCCTTGAGCCGGGGATGCTGCCGATGGCATGTTGCAACACGTGATGCTTCAGGCAGTAAACCTCATCGACCGCCACATGACCGCTTTGCCCGTTCTGAGGAGGCGTTCCACAGAACATAGAGTCACCTGTTACGCCAGTTCTTGTCCAAAGCTGGTCGCCAATGCCACTTTCACGATGATGCAGCTTCTTAGTGACCTCTATGCCCGACGAGGCAGAGCGAAAGAGAGATAAGTCAGACAACAATAATAATGTAGAGCGGGAGAGACTTTTCACGCGGTTCGAGTGGAGAAGAAGCTGTTGGCAGATTTCATCTGTTCACCTAGTCCAGCATTTCATGAATGGCTTCATGTTCGCGCTGTTCAGCTGTTCAACTGTCGTGTTACAGTCCGTGTCTTGCACTCTGTGTGTTGCACGCCTTGTATCATAAAGATAATGCAGAACTGAAGGCTGCCAATGACGATTTGGTCAAGCCATGGTCGTCGCAAGCATAGAGCATATGCAGCCACAGAACACGGGACGGTATTTGGCGGTTTCTGCAGCAGGTCGCAGCATTTGAGCCTTGAGTGCACAGTTATCATGGCATCCATCGCTTGTTGTCGCTTTCCATTTTCCTGCTTGGGTGGGTTGGGGGGGGGGGGGTCTGACTGGGCACTTGCGTCTTTTCACACGGAAAGCAAGTACTGTGGCTAGCAGCGAATGGGAGTAAAGCAAAGTGTCTCGGACACCTGCGATTTCTACAGGCGGCTGCAGCTGGTGGGTGTTACGGGCATGTTCGTGGCGGCCAAGTTCGAGGAGATCGACCCGCCACGTGCTACGGACTTTGTGTACATAACAGACAATACCTACTCCAAGGCAGGGTGTGGATCCTGAAGTTTGGGACACAGACCGGTGTCGATGTTCTTTATTTGGAAGGGGGCAGGGAAATGATCCTACCCCAAGAAGCTCCGTTGAAAGCGCCGTGGACAGGATGACCTCTTGCAGATGGAGTGCATGATGCTCTCAGCTGGGATCTTGTTTCTCAGTTAGTAGTACAGCTGTTCAAGAAGGAACTAGCATTGTGAGGCCTTGGAGTTTCGAGTGGTGGTGCCAACGCCTGCCCACTTCTTCAATCACTTCGTCAAGGCCAGTCCGTTGGTCGAAGATTCCGCATTCCGGCGTCGTTGGGCTTGTCCTTTACTTCACGATGATACGAGTATCGGTCTTCAGTCCCTTAAAGTGAGTGACTAGTGGCCAGGCCAACAGCTGCGAGAATGCCAGACACGTTGAAACGGTCAAGTACATCCTGGAGCTTGTACCGCCCCCTGAGGAGATATGCGCAGACCTGATTATCATTGTCGGGCTGCTGATCCCTCTTTTTGCTGAGGCACTCATCGATCTACGGATGATCCGGTATCCGCGCGGAGCTTGACTTGCAATGGCTTCAGACTTGACGGTTCACTCGAAGCGATGTACTCGTTCAGGCCTTCCCACCTGCTCGCAGCAGCGATCTTGCTTAGCAATGACCTCTTCGGTAGGGCAGCTCTATGGCCAGATGTTATGGTGCCGGCTCGATTTGCAAGTGGGGAGTTTGGATGCCTTACAGCTGAGATCTTGTCTCTGTTTCTGGCTTCTCGTCCGCAGGTGCAGACGTGCAGACACACGGAGGAGGAGCTGCGAGGCTGCGCAGAGGCGAGGAATCCAAGTGCTTCTTGTACTCTCGTCGGCGTCCTCCTTCACTCCGGCACGCTACAGCAGGAGCTGCGCTCGCTGCTGCGAGCGGCCCCAGCAGGTTCGCTGCAGGCACGGGCCGCGTGTCTCCTTGTGCAACGAGTGGAGCAACTCGTGATTCATTCCGTCTTTATATCTATGCTGGCAGGCCGTGCGGAAAAAGTACATGCTGCAGACACATCATCGCGTTGCAAATAACGCGGTATTGGGAGGTGCTTAATACTCTAGGCAAAGCTTCCTGTGCCAGCTGCTTTAGCTTTAGTGACACATGCTCCATAGCCGGACCTTACTGATCGCTCCTCAAAAAAATGGTCTGCTGAGCAGCTGGTTGATGTTGAGGCTCCTTGCAACGGAAATTTATCGTTTTTTAGGTCCTTATGGCAGCCCCGCTGCCTGTGCAACCATGCACTGCGCTTGCAATCAAAGCGGCGCGGTCACAGTGCTAGAGCATGCTAGACTATAGAGCAATTAATGCAGCGGTTCACATCGTAACGCTGCTTGCGTACTGCACCCCCTTCTCAGCAAGGCCACTGGACTCACCAACCAGAGAGCCATTCAGAATCGCGACTTGTCAATCGACTGTGATTCGTGGCTCTGCTGGAATTCATCTTAGGACACGGTTGAAATCTCTAGATCAATTCGTGAAAAAAGGTACATGAAGCTGATGCACTTGTGCTTACAGTGGAGGATTATGCTGCCAGCTGCCATTGCAGGCCCGCGCGAGTTCTCATGCTGTGGACACAGGTTGTCCGCTGCCGGATAGCGGGTGGCCCCTAACGCGAGAGGACCGCTAGTGGCTGTACCTGCTGTACCCAAGGCGAGGGTTTCAGTTTTCACTTGTGCCCACATGCAATGATCCATGTGACACCCCCTGCAGCCGCAGTATACTGCAGTTGAAGAACAGTGTTTACCAGTGTTTCATAGCTTAGTTTTCTTACCAGCTTACCATGTCAGACGACAGTCAGCACTCCTTGCACACAGGCAGACAGTCAGAGAGAGTCACAGAGACAAACTTTCGGAACATGTCGGGATCAATGCCCCGAGCCCTTCTTGGGCTTTAGCGTTCCGGTGCTGCCAGCAAGTGCTGTTGTGCTGCTGTCCAGGATGACGTGTGTCCCAGTCGTCCTCATTGATATTGTTTGTGGTATGTGACCCTTTCCATGTGCTGTATTTGGCTTACAGCGGACGCGCCGAGCCCTTTGGCATTGCAGATCATTGCACCCGTGCGCCAGGCAGAAGCCTGCATGACTGTGCCCAAACAAACGAATTCACTGCTCTCAGGTGCCTGAAAGTCGTGACCATGCCGTCTGAAAACAACCGCGGGCACCCTGAGCTGGACACTTAGGACTTAGGAGGCTGAACTCCGCACATGCATTGTGCTGCTTCCAAGACTCCAAGACTGGACTCAGGTTTGGAGCTCCTCATGGAGCAGGTCGACGGCCTGGGCTTATACTGAGGGAGAGACGTAGATCTGTTGGGATCACCTCTGCCAGCCTATGCGGTTGCATCAGGCCGTGCCAGGGGCTTCGCGCAGAATGTGGACACAGTGGCTCTGCCGTCTTTAGCATTGATGTTATCACGCGAGCGAGAGAGAGAGAGAGAGAGAGAGAGAGAGGGTAGTATACCGCAAGCAAGCAAGCACGAGCCTACCCTCGGCCCACACGCTGAGCAAGCAAGCAAGCAAGCAAGAGAGAGAGAGAGAGACAGCAACATGGGGGGACCACCAATTTCGCGAGAGTTTTCATCACCTCGAGTAACTAACACTACCAAGCTAGTTGCTGTTCTGTGCGGTGTTGATGGGGGGAAACCTCGCTTCCTCTGTAAAGCCAAGCCCCCTGTGCGCGCGCGCGCGGGGAAGGCGGCCTGAACGCTGCTGCCGACCCCACGCTCAGGAGAGAGAGAGAGAGAGAGAGCAGGGAGTCTCACTATCACCAGTCGGTACTGTGGCGTGAGAAGGTGAGACGGGTGAATGCTCGTCGTTCTCGGACAAATAAGCTTGCCTCGTTGCAGCTGTTGTTGCTGAGCACGATCCGTAGAGTGGCAAGCCAGCTTGCTGCGTAATTACAGTCCGTTCGGTTGTGATGTCGTTATGTCATGACAAGGGTCGCGGCTGCTGCTTCTAGAACACGGGTGCAACACTGGGACCCTGGGACCGTCGGGGGCAACTACTGCTCGCAGCTGAAGCTTGTGGGGGCAGAGCGAAGTGAAGGGGTTGCTGTCATCCATTGCTCTCCTTGCAAACCGAGTTGGTAATTAGTAAGACCAGGTGACTATGCGCGTGCCACAAGTTTTCCAGCTCTTTCCGCTCTAACATGGGTGCGCCACAGCGCAAAGGGAGGGGGGGGTTGGGACCCCCTTCCTCTCACCTGCAGCAGACAGAACCTATGCATGTTGGGGATGTCAGGTCGCATCATCAGCCGAGCAGATAGCTGTTCAGCATAGGAGTGCCTCCTTCCAAAGCCCCAGAAGTATGGCCGGGGACCTAACCTGGTCTCCCAAGGCCTGCTGAAGGAGAGCTCCTAAAACAAACTGAAACAAGGTGGGACACGTAGGCCTAGACTAGACAGAGAGAGAGCGAGAGAGAGAGAGAGAGAGAGACAGCTTTGAGCCCGGGAGCGTTGACCCGCCTCCACGCCCGGGAGAGAGAGAGAGAGAGAGGTAACCCTAGTCTTTCGCACGTAATACCGTGCACGCCGACAACAAGGGGCGGCCCTCTGGGCGAGGGCTTGCCCTCCAGCCTGGCGAAAGAAAGAGAGAGAGAGAGAGAGAGAGCTGCGAACTAAGCAGGGGGAAACCTGCCCTTTCTGTCCAGCCGAGCCCTCTGGGGAAATAACCCCTGGGGGGATTGCCTTCCCGCCAAGCGATGCGGGTGTGCGGACCGCACGGGAGAAGGGCCTGGATGCTGCCCTTCTCTCCTACCCGGAAGAGAGAGAGAGAGAGAGAGAGAGAGAGAGAGCTGCGAACCGTTGTGAGGGTAGGCCTTCGGGCCAGGATCTCCTCGGAGGCCCACACCCCTCTGCCAGCAAGCAAGCAAGCAAGAGAGAGACACAGTCGCCTCCCTAGCCTGGCGAAAGAAAGAAAGAGAGAGTTTGCGGCACCCCTGGCTGCAACCCTGACGAAAGAGAGTTTGCAGCGAGCAGGGTTTCCAGTTGGTTTAACGGACGTCACGTGCAGTTCCTTACTTTTGTAATTTCTTCGCTTCCTTTTTCAAACCATCTATGTATCTCATGTAAATCATGCAAAAATCAGACTTTAGATGCCCGTCTCTTCCTTCTTTAAAGATTCTTTAAAGATGTGACACCATTCTGACCGAATTTTACCGTTCAAGAAGCCTCGTTCACAATCATTCCAAAATGCACCCTATCACCATTCTTATCTTCATCAGTGGAAGTAAGTGTAAGTTCCAGGTTCGATGTATTTTTAATTGTTCTACTGGTTTTTTACATTTCAATCCGTTATACAATGTTCTTATTATAGATCTTTCATCAGAACGTAAGCCAAGAAATACCTAAGAAGAGGTGAGTGCAAGGCCTGTGTTCGAGAGGGAGTTCCCGTTCCAAGGACCCCCAGTTCCTGTTACAGGTCTGCCAGCAGTTGGGGATGGTTTCCGAAACAGCTTGGAGCCAGTAGCTGAAACAGAATTACTGAACTACACCCCTCCCTCCAGTCCAGCCTCGTCTGGCTGCAAAGGACCGTGAGCTGAAGGACATAAAGGACATTGGCATACATACAAATGGCAAGCATTGGTGAACGAGTAAACCAAAAACTCAATCAAGGGATGCAGATGACCAATCGAATCTTCATAATGCTGAACAGTATTCAGGGAGTGATCGATAAAATTAAGGTGTTATAGCACGACGTGGAATACTTAAAGCATCAAAACTATGGCAAATAGGAGGAGCAGGAGGAGGAATGGGAGGAGGAGGGTGATGTCTTCCGTGTCATTTCTGACTAAAGTCTGCGGAACAGAGCGGCGTTGGGGTATCAGGTTGTTTGACCTTGGTTGGCTTGGTGGTACACGCTTGAGCAGATCGTTCCTCGAAGTGAAATTTCGATCCGACTTGGGAGACCTTTGCGTGCGTGCAGCGTGAGGGGAAGTGCTCCCTTTCCTGTGGCTGTGTGGAAAAAGAGAGGGGGATCACGAAGCGTGTCGGTGCTGCAGCAGCTTTACTTGATTATGTCCAGTTGGGCAGGCAGAAGGTACACACACACACACACAGGCAGACACTGCCGGTTTGATGCTTCTAGCCGTTGGGTGGCCGATGTCCGAGTCCGGTTGGGTCATGTCGCCGTTGCCTCATGAGCTCTTTCCCGGAGATCGACCTCAGGAGAACTTGAACCCTGGTCTCGGCTTCGCGGCCACGCGCATCGGTTACGGCACACGCACTGGGAAGCTCGCGGCGAACACAGGCCGTGCGGAACGGTCACGCGAGTTGGAAGTCTGGTGGGGACACCTCCCGTGCAGCAGGTATGGCAGCCCGTTCGCAAAGGCTAGCATCCGCAGGGCCTGCAGGACAGCTTGGATACAAGCTGAACAAGCATGAAGAGTGAAGGGGAGTTTTCAGATGTGTTGAAGATGGCTGAACAGGAAGGCGGCCACTGGCGAGCCTGTCCGATATCACGAACCTGCAGGATGCACGGGAAGGGAGGAAGAAGCTAGCACGACCTCCTCAGAACCAACTTGGCCAAGTCGGCCAGTTCGGCCACCTTGGACCCGGGCCGGCTCCCGCATTGCGGGCTCCACGGCCCTCTGCCAATGCTACGCTGCCGAGCACTGCGGAGCAGCAGCCCGTGGCCATGGAGGTTAGCAGCCCAGAAGCCGCCACGGAGGCACCTCCAGGAAAGCCTGAGCTTCGCCTGTTTGCCGTAGCCCTCAGCGCAGCCACCTCGCAGGCACACAAGCGATCACAGTCCGCAGCGGAGTATGTGCCCGAGATTATGGAGCGCTTGTTTGAGGAGGCACTCGAATCACTCGAATCCCGCAACGCCCTGCAGTAAATGCGGAGGGATACGCAGTGCCAGGAAGCAGCTTTCCTGCCTCGACCTTCGTACATGGAGACGCAGCAAGACATCAATGGCAAGATGCGGGCAATTCTCGTTGACTGGCTGGTGGAGGCTGGAGCCCGACAGGCTGCTAACAGCTAACATAGTGAGAGAAACCCACAGCATAAGACAAGAAGCCATGATCGTGTGATTGTTCTGCCCAGGTTCACATGAAATATCGCCTGCGCGCAGAGACGCTCTTCTTGGCGCTCGCCTTGAGCCGGGGATGCTGCCGATAGCATGTTGCAACACGTGATGCTTCAGGCAGTAAACCTCATCGACCGCCACATGACCGCTTTGCCCGTTCTGAGGAGGCCTTTCGAGTGACAAGAAGCTGAGCTTACTTACTCTGCCGCTCCGTTGCGGAAGTCTGACCGGCACTGCAAAACGCAACTGGAGCAGCGCAGGCTGCAGTTCTCCAGCACGCAGCCAATAAGCGGTTAACGTTTCAAACTACACTAACTACAGCTTCGCAGCCAGACTATAGGAAATCCAATTCCACGCGCAAAGCGGGCAGTAAGAGCAGCCCAAGCCTTGTGACGAGCACGAGCCAACATCCTGAAATAGTTACGTGGATGTCATCTTTCGACTCAAAGGTTTGGGTTGCTTGGTGACGTAGGGAAAGGATATTGGCCAGGTAAGTATCGCATTTGCCTTTCACGTCTGCGCCCGTTCAGGCGTCTACAGTTGGTGGGTGTTACGGCCATGTTCGTGGCGGCCAAGTTCGAGGAAATTGACCCGCCGCGGGCCACGGACTTCGTGTACATAACAGACAACACCTACTCCAAGGCACAGGGTAGAGCCTGAAGTTTGACAAGAGTTGCTGCATGGACACAGATGCGGAAAGCGGCCGGAAGCACCAAGACCCTTCTTTGAGTTGCAGCATGGGAGGATGATCTCTTGCAGATGGAGTGCACAATGCTTTCAGCGGGGGCCTCGTTTGTCATACTGGCTCATCTCCAGCAGCAGCCAACAGACTTCGAGGGGAGTATCATGCTTAGGCCCTAGACTTTCGAGTGGTGGTGCCAACGCCTGCCCACTTCTTCGACCAGTTCGTCAAGGCAGGCCACGGTCCCCAAGTCCTCTCCTACAGTCGTTCTCTTCGTTGTCGTGTCCTTCTTGAGCCTCATCGTCGTCGCCGTCATCATAATCATCGTTACCACTACGTACCGTTGCCTGGCAGCCTGACCCTGCCCAGGTCAACAGCGAGAACTCTCTGCAAACTGAAACGGTCAAGTATATCCTCGAGCTTGTGCCGCCCTGTGAAAAACCGGGTGCCCGTTCCAGCTACAAACCTATTGCTGTTCAGCTGCTATTCCTTGTCAACGTCCGAGGCACTCATCGATCTACGGATGATCCGGTATCCGCGCGGAGCTTGACTTGCAATGGCTTCAGACTTGACGGTTCACTCGAAGCGATGTACTCGTTCAGGCCTTCCCACCTGCTCGCAGCAGCGATCTTGCTTAGCAATGACCTCTTCGGTAGGGCAGCTCTATGGCCAGATGTTATGGTGCCGGCTCGATTTGCAAGTGGGGAGTTTGGATGCCTTACAGCTGAGATCTTGTCTCTGTTTCTGGCTTCTCATCCGCAGGTGCAGACGTGCAGACACACGGAGGAGGAGCTGCGAGGCTGCGCAGAGGCGAGGAATCCAAGTGCTTCTTGTACTCTCGTCGGCGTCCTCCTTCACTCCGGCACGCTACAGCAGGAGCTGCGCTCGCTGCTGCGAGCGGCCCCAGCAGGTTCGCTGCAGGCACGGGCCGCGTGTCTCCTTGTGCAACGAGTGGAGCAACTCGTGATTCATTCCGTCTTTTTATCTATGCTGGCAGGCCGTGCGGAAAAAGTACATGCTGCAGACACACCACCGTATTGCTAGCCATGCAGTGCTGGCAGGAGCTTAAGGCGGCAGTTCTTGTGCTTCTTGCGGTAGCTTGTAGCTTCAGCGGCTTTGCTTTGATATCTGTTGCTTGATGCTTGCAGGCTTCCTGCAACCGAAAATGTCTCGTTTTTTTATGTACCTCGGGCAGCCCCTGCTGCCCATGCAATTATTCAGTGCACAAGCAATCAAAGCGGTGCACTTGCAATGCTGGAACAATTAGGAGGTCCACCTCAAGAATGCTGCCTGCGTACTGCACGCGGCGTCTTGGCAAGGCCCTGCAAGAGCTCTTTGAATTTTCACAAACGATTCTCGCGCAGTCAGTTGCGATTTGTGTGGCCTTGCAAGAATTCATTGGGCCCAGATGGAATTCAAAGAGCATGCGCCGTGCGGAAAAGATAGTCCTTCTGGTGGTGGACTGCGCATGGAAGTGCCGCAGCGCGGCAGCTGGTAATTTCGAGAATGCCGTCTGGCTGGACTTGAGTGGCCACTCCGGACTGCATGTCTTTACACCAGGCGCCGTCAATTGTGCTCACTTCTGCGTGCTTTCAAGCTGCCTTTTGATGCTCAACATCAAACGTGTACGACCTGTGCCGCTTGAAGACTGCTCGCTGCCGTTGACACACGGCGCACTGAAACGGATCAGGCTGTTTTCGCTTCCCGACTAGCCCCAATACCACGCCATGGAATCGTCTTCTCAAACACGGCGTCGGCTCGGCTCCAGTGTTACCGCGCCCATGCGGAACAGAAGCAAGAAGACTGACAGTAGTTGTCAGAGATGACAAGCACAGGAGTGGGCACCGATACCAGTGACAATGAATGTGTATTGTAAGTGACGTTGTGAAACCGTGCCTAGGGTACCATAGCCATGTGGAAACCGCCCGTGAATAGTCGAGCTAAGTGTGATAAGGACAGGAACAAGCAGACTTGCAGTGCTTGGGGACGATCCAGTAGCAGGCTGTCCAACACGGACAGCAGAATGCTGCTTCGTGGCAGCGCTGCCTCCCCAGGCGCATAGTGCCATGTAGCACGGTACCGATAGTTTATGATGCTGCTGCAGACAGCTTTTCTGGCTGGAGTGTCCCATAGCATGCATGCTCGGCACTGAGCTCTGTGCGCTCTAGGTTACAGCATGCACTGAGCATGCAACACGACTTTGCGCATTTTGCTCATGACTAGCGGCATGCCTTCAAAATCCAACCCGTGCAAGCAGCATGGTCCACAAAGCCAGCGGAGTCATGCCTTGTTGAACTGAGCTGACTTAGAACCAGCCGTTTTAGGTATGCATCAGCCATGGCGACTGTCCGCGCTTTTGCACTCCAGTTGTGGCTCCTGTTGTGTGTCGATTTGAGCAGGTGGTGGAGGCAAAATCATGAAACCGTTTGCTCCTGGTCGGACCTGTGTACCCTGAAGGTCGCAGAGAGACCGCGATGCATGGCTACCAGAGACGCAGCTCGAGCGGGAAGGCCGTGAGTCATGCGCGAGGCGCTTCCGAAGCACCGACTTCTCGCAGCAAGGGTTCCAATCCGAATGGCTCAATCCATACAACAGATCCGCAGCTGGGTTGCTACAAGAACTCTGCAAATTTTGTACAGTGCATGGAAAAGGTTGATTTCGCACTGCACCCATCTGCGCCCCAGGCTTTCATCGACTGTCTGTACAAGTTGCGGACACGGTGGCGGCCGAGAGAAAAATCCGTCCATGCAGGAGGCATTCACTACCCAACGCTAATAACAACGCATCACACATGGCCTCCGGTCTCAACCAGTGGCGCGCGGCTGTGTTGGCTGGATGAGTTGGGAACTCGCCTCAGAGCCCAAACAACTATATACTACTGTTGAGTTGTGATCGGTATGTCCCAGATTCCCGGAACAGCGAAAGGACAAGGAGTTTCCTGCAATAAAGGAGGTTCATTGCGGTTTATTGTTAGTTTGTTTCGGCAAAAGGGTGCCAGAACGATGCTGCTGTTGCCTTTCACCTTCCCCGGCCGACTTACCAGGGCCCCAAGCCCGGATGCCAAAGGGTGACTTCTGGGCTTGGACTGCATCCAAACATGTTGCAATCTCCACAGGGTAGTGTAGTGCAGTACAAGTCAAAAGCCGGACAGGTCATGCCTCAACCGTCCCCAGAATCGTATCATCACTTGTCTGTCCTTTGTCTTGTCAACTGCGTCTCGAAATGACTCGAAAGGTCGCTGGAAAGAATTCTGAAGGGTTTTGTGAACAAGTTGCTGTTTACTTCTAGGTCATCTTCGCATGATTCCGTGCAAGCTACAAGGAGTCAGTCGAAACAGCATAGATCCCGGGCACTGCTGCGACACGACGCACGGCCCTCGGGGCTTGGAAGAATGCTGGGATGACTACTTCACCTACGAGCTTTGCTGCTTGGGTGACCCTTGGCCGCTATTCGGCGCCAAGAGTCAACTTGAGTTGTTGGTGGTTTGAGCCAAGTGTTCCTACGGGGTCAGGGCGGCTTCCGGCGTTTGCCATCACCTCAGTCCATCGCGAGCATTCCCCAGACTTTCCCGGAGACTGTCTCCAATGATTCATGTTAGGATGTCAACGTGGCGGAGATGCCGCACTTCTTTGTGGCGCCAGCATTCGACATCAACGTTGGCAATTCTGTGCGTCAGCTTGGGACCTTTGACTTGGGCCAATCGTACGCTTTGCAGACGCTATGTCGGACCGGGGATGCCGTCATCGATGTTGGCACTCGCCTCAGTCCACTGAAAGGCGTGCACCAAAATACACACCTTTAGAATACGACTGAAGCGATTGGTGGCCAGCGCCACAAGGAGTGTGCACGTGCGTATTGATTGCGCAAAAAGTCCTCGGTACTAGTAGTATTATCAGGCTTACTTTGGCGCAGACAGCTATGGCCACTGTCCTGTGCATCTCCCCTAGCGAAGTATCACAAGTCACAACACACGTGGCCGTCCACGGCAGGTTTTCCAGATGCTCGGTCTGGGAGTGCTGAGCTGCGAGTGTATGCAATGCAGGTGCAAACGTTGGCGGGTTCACCGTACCATTGGCTGAGCGCGTCGGCCCTGACGGTGAAGTACATGCCTTCGAGCCTTTCCGGAAGGTGTTCCAGCACCTGAATGCAAACGACACTTGAACATAAATTCCGCGACAGCTGTTCATCTTGTTCGCCCAAGTTCCAGGTGTAGGATGTTGCTTCAAAGAGGACGAATTCGGAGTAGAGTGGACTTGCCCTGGGTCTTGTGGCATCTGTCGTCGGCATTACGAACTAGATTCTAGATTCGGGTCTGGTGTTGTTTCAACAGCAAGAATGAAACAACTGGCTTCCAAGCCTTTTCGTGCCGCCTTGGTGATGCCCTTGTCCGAGACAGTGGGTGTGATCCCCCACACCTTTTCCACAGTTACCAAGCACACATACGGAACTAAACTTGAGCGACCATGTCGTGACAACAGCACAAACATCTGGTCGTGTTTTGGAATCTTGCACTCGGGGCTTTGGTCCGACGGAGTAGCATGTTGTGACAAGATCGTTGCGGAGTCTGTGTGTTTATAAGGTCGCTTTGAACGGCTTGAGCAATGTCTACACATACAACGTCGCTCTTGGGACACAGGACGAGGAGGTCGCTGCCTTTGTGCCCGACCTCACTAGCTTCAATTTCCCATCTGCTATACGAGTGCTCGACCAGTTCGGACCCGACAAGGCAGCCAAAGAAGCCAATCTCCGATACGAACCACGTCAGGAGACATTGACAGTCCGCCCTTTGGACAACTTCAAGTTCGACAAACGTATCAGTTTGATAAAAATCGATGTTGAGTTCATGGAATGGCATGTGGTGCGTGGGGCGCGCCAGACCATAAAACAGAATCAGCCGCTGATATGGGTCGAGAACGAGGCCTACTTCGACGATCCAGCAAATCTGACTTTCGTCAACACGATGTACTCCGATCTGGGTTACGTCTGTAATCCTGTAGCGAGGTTACCATCTGCACGCAGCATGTTTTTGAGTTTTGTCTTTTGAGTCTTTTCATGGTCAGAAACCCGTGCTTGGAGAATCCAGAATGACTGCCATTGCCTCTCCAGCATCTTGCAAAGTTGGAGCCTAGGGATTTACTTTCCCGCTAGCTGCCAGCTATTGCTAGCTGCTAGCTTCTTCTCTTCGAGCTATCTGCGAGGTTGGAGTTGCTCTGCAGCCCTGGAAAAGAGTCGGGCGGTCAGCTAATTGCAGATGAGTCCCTATTGCCAGCAGGCTTCAAAAGAGTCTTCCGTCTCCGGGATGCAAGCATTTTGTTGTCCTGCGACCAGGGCCCTTTCCTTGGCTGTTAACTGAGCTAGTCCAAGGTCATCTGAGTGGCGAGTTCAAAGATGTTCATCTTTGGCGGGCGCTTTCAGAGGTAGACCCACGCTTTGCCCTGGTGGAGAAATAGAGAGGCGGAGAAAGAAGGGCTGCGCAGCTCCGAGGTTTCACATCCTTCATCCGTAGAACGTACATGAATGTACTGCATTGCGCAGTCATCGTCTTGAGAAGCCAGGCATAGCCAGGCCGCGGAGTCTGCGCCAGTGGACATGGCGGCAGAGGAGCGGAGCGAGCGCGGCCTGCAGGTGACGCGGGGCTCCCCGCCACGGGCCTCCACCGAGCCTCGGCGAAACCTCCACAAGACAAGTCTAAGTCTCTAAAGGAGGTTTTGTGTGGACCGCTGATGGGTCGACATTCTGCGCAGACGCCGAGGTGCGAGTGCTGCGGCAAAGCCCTGCAGCGGAAGATGTGCTGGTGCGGGTGCAGGCACCCGATGTGGCATGAAATTCTGTCAGTGCGACTTATACGATTCAGCCGCATGCACGGCATTCGGCACCGTACGAGCAAGAGGTGGCGGCACTAACACCCACGGATGTCGGGGCCACGAGTGCAAAGGGACTACTGACTTCCGCGACTTCCGCTCAGCTCTTTGACTCTATGACCTTCCATGATCTGCAAATCAGGTTCTTCTTTGTCAACGCGCCCTCATTGTGTCCAAAGCTGACCAGCAGATCCCTCGTTCGTGGTTCCTGCTGCCACAGAGTGTGCGTGTAGCCTTACATAGCTAGGACGCGGCAGCCCATCAGGATGAACACACTCCGGTGCATGAAGGTCGGACGCAGCGACCTTTGTTCCCGGAACATTCTTTGCCGGGAAGGCCGGCAGCACTAGTGCACGCTTTTGGTCTTTTGCCACTTGGCTGCGAATGCCACGGCCAGGTCTTAGCCTTTGGCGACTTGGTTCAAGGTCTTCGCGTAGGCGAGCTTGTCCTGGGCATCGTGGATCCCTCGTTCCAGGCGGATTGTGTTTCCGGACGGAGAGCCCGGAGAGCTGACTTCACCACCACAACCACAACCACAACAACAACAACAACAACAACAACGACGACAACGACGACAACGACGACGGCAACGACAACGACAACGACAGCAAGAAAAAGAACAAGAGCAAGAGCTACAGCCAAAGCATTGGCAGCAACAGCAACAGCAACAGCAACAACAGCCACCACAACAACTTGACGACCACAACCACAACCTCCTCCCGCTTCTTCCCTGTCTCCAGGGCCCAGCTGATGCTGATGATTCGGAGATTGCTGAGCGCATGACTCACATGCTGCAGGTCCTGCGCGGCAGCTCCCAGGAAGCCGAAGCCATATCTGGGCAAAGTACGGCATGGCAGGGAACATGCCTGACGCACACGCTTCTTAGGCTCGCTTCGAGCTCTGCGCTGAGACTTCCATCGATCACACAAGCACACCCCGCAGCATCCAACTGACAAATTTTGCAGGACGGCTTCGTCGGAAGAGGGCGGATGCTATCGCGAAACCGTCAGCTTCCGACCTCAGACGAATTCACTGATCGTCGTCATCCGAACTGTTCGCTTCGAGTATCTTCGAGTATAAGGTGCTCACTTCTCGATGCTGCTTCCCTTGGACGGCGCCGGGAGCTGAGACCCGCATCGCTCCTTGGACTGGCCGTCGAGTCTGGTACAAGTACGGCCTAAGACAGGTCGACCCGAAGCTACCTCTCACTGCGCTCGTGGCCCATGTACCACCCATGATCAGTGCTCAGCTCATGCCCAGATGTGAGCATCTACACTCATTGCTTGGCTTGTGGCACGCGCCTGACTGTGGGAGACAGACGTTTGTGGCAGGTGCCTTGATGTGCATGGCTTCGTTGCGATTGAGGCCCATGGAGGTGCGAGCGGGCTCTTCCAGCGCCTAGCATGCCCAACACGCCACACACCAGGAAGCAAAATGTGATTTCTCAGCAATGCATCTAGTTTCCCACCTCGGCTCGGACAGGCTTTGTTGCTGATCGCACCATCTCTGGACGAGATCGCTTTCTTACTGCAGCGTTTGCTGATCAGCCGGCCCAGTCAGAACTGCAGAGTATGAGTAAGCCATCAAATCTCGACTGCAGGTGCATGGCATGGGCCCCTCTACATGGTCCTCCTCTCGGGGCCTGCACCCTCGCGCCAAGATCTTCAGCCACCCGGCAACCTTTTCAAGCGCCACCCTGTGAAAGGTCGTGAAATGAGCGGAGACCTGTTGCTTCGGATGGAAAGTTGACACTGTATGGCAGGCAGCACCCCCTGCTGCAGCCACTGGTGCATTCGGCAGGCACTGCAGCGACTGTGGTGGAGGGAGAGGGAGAGGGAGAGGGAGAGGGAGAGAGAGAGAGAGAGAGAGAGAGAGAGAGAGAGAGAGAGAGAAAGTCAACCCAAGTAAAAGAAGTTCTGCTGAGTGGGGGTACAGTGCCCACTGCAGCAAGCCGGGGGGTGGAGCCCGCCGGAGAGACGGAAGGGAAGGGACGAACAATTATGACCAGTGGATAGTATTCTAGCCGTTGTCCTTGCTGGTTGGCAGTTCCAGTGTATGTTGGTGCCTGTAGTTACAGCGTGTAAGTCCCGGCAATAGGCCACTTCCGTGTAGTTGAACTGGAGAGACCTCGGAAGACCCACGTGAAGCTTGCAGGTTTGCCAGGTCATGGTCTTAGATGTTGGTGGTTTGGGGGACGGGGTACTCAAGCTCACGTGGGGGAACGAGTCATCTCAACCCCGGAAGGGGCCTTTCGACCTACGGACGTCGCGGACCGTTGAGGGGGTAGGCCTTCGGGCCAGGGTCCGCTTGGGCCCAGACCCCTAAGCAAGCAAGCAAGCAAGAAAGTCAACCAAAGCTCCGCCCGTGGAGAGCCCGACGCTTACTGCACATAAAACAGTGCGTACAACCAACAGAACGGGCAGCTCCCGCGGGGGCTTGCCGTCGGGCCTGGGGAAAGAAAGAAAGAAAGTTAGAGAGAGGGAGGGAGAGAGGGAGGGAGAGAGGGAAGGGAGACCAGGCAAGCCGTCAACAGACGGGTGTTTTGTACGGGGGTTCGCCCTCAGGCCTGGTGAAGGAAAGAGGGAAGGGAGGTCTACAGCTCCGGTACGAGTCCAATCGTTTCGACACCAGAACAAAGTGCATGCGGTCTGACGACCACAAACTCATTTCCCCTCAGTGTTGGGCAGTCGGATTTCTGCTGACCATGGCAGCACTGGCCTTGCAACAACAACAGCGAGATGGGGAGGCCATTCCCCGTGGACTCTCGATTATGGGACAGGAGTCGCCCCTGGTGGCAGCGAGGGAAGAGAGCACGACGCAGTGAGGGCTGCAACGAAAGCCGTGGCAGTGCGGTCTCATCTACAAATTCAGCCGTCAGACCACGGAGATCAGGCTCGTCCCCGCACGAGGGGGGTTGGGAGTCCCTGCCTTCCTTTGGCTGAGCGCAACAACATCGACCCGAGGGGCTTGACCGCTTCCCCTAGTGCATTGCTTGCATCAGACCGAGGCCAGTGCGAAAGAGCGGGTGTGGGCCGAAGAGGGAGAGAGAGAGAGAGAGAGAGAGCTCTACAGAGTCGTCAGCAAGCAAGCAAGAGAGAGAGGGAGCAGTAAGTTCAAAGGTGCGGGCCGAAAGCTGTTCCTGGTGGTTACTTGGCGCAGAGAGAGTGAGGCGAGTGGAAAGGCGGACATTCGTGGGGACATTGGAGTCGAAGAAGACCGCTGAGAGCAGCGAGAGCAAATTTTCACAGTGTCGTGGGCCAGGCAGAAGCTTTCTGGATGACATGCTGAGCATTTCCATCCAGGACTGTCCTGGTCGAAGGGTTGGGCGGTCGACGTGTGCTGAGCGGTGATGATGACCTGTGAGGATCGCCTCGAGGGCTTGACACAGGCCCGGGCGCAGCTGGCAGTGGTTTTGGCGGAGATCGTTACAGAGGCACCCAGAAACAGTGCTGCGGAAAATCCTGAGTGTTGGGACCTTGTCGGTTGAGTATAACAGTATAAAGTATGACAGAGTATGTGGGATCGGATGCATCAACTTCAAGTCGAGTCCTCTAGAGCCACAGGTTGTGACGAGCACCGGCGGGCTTGGTGTGGAGGCTGTTCTCGCTTTGGATGTGGACCTGTGCCCTGACAAGGCCAGGCAAGTTGGCTCATGCGATTCGCAGATCAAGAATGGCACAGTGGTAGAGTTGCGCAGCGAGATGTTGTGTCGTAGGATGATAAGCAGCTTGGAATTGCAGTGCTATTCGCTCTCCACTGTCTTGGAAATTAAGTGGGCTAAGGACTTGGTTCCAGAACTGTCCACGGACCTGGATGCTGCATGTGTGGCCGCAGGCTTATTGAGAGTGTCTAGTGGTTCTGGTGAAAAGCGAGCACCAATGAATCAAACAGGTGATGAGAGCACGGAATCTCAAGTCTAGAGAACACTTCGTGAAAACTCTTCTGATCAACCTTACGTCTTGACAGACCAGCATCTTCTTGAGTTGTCAGCATCCCCAGCACCCCCATTGAAAATCACGAGCTTGGCAGAGTTTGAGCTGTGCTGAGGCTTTGGAGCCATGTGAGCGACCACCTGCGGTACTCCGAACACTTGTTGGAGTGCCCTGGCAATGACTCTGACTTGGGCAAGGGCCGTGTGATCATGCCATCAACAGCTTGCAATTGTATCCACGCTGTCAGAAGATCCATGCAGATCTGAAGCTCACACGTCAGAGGCACTTGCGATGAGGGGCCGGTTGCTGACGAACTGTGAGAGGCAGTGTCTCGGGTTGATCGGAAATTTGGAAGCCGAGAGCATCGCCTCAAACGCTCTGGGCCGGCCACACCCTTAGACAGGTTCGAGCTGTCGCCAGATGATGGCCACCACCTCTGGGCAAAAGAGTGCCGAGCTCTAAATCTGTCCGTCTGTCCGTGTGCAATGTGCATCCACAGAAGTCAAGAACCTTGTCTTTATTAACCTGTCAACTAGTGCACCACTGGGTATGCAGAGCGCGCAGGTAGGCAGGCACGCAGGCAGGCCGACGTAGCGGGCATTTAATTAGCAGATGCCATTGTTTGCATGCGCGGATGCGAACCCATTGGAGCTCGGCCCTTTACTGACACACAGAGTAAGCAGATCAACAGCTTCGAGAAGTTCGATCCGCACTCCTGAGCTGCGTCAGAGCTTCCAACGTCAAAAGTGATCAGTCCAAAGGTGCTCTGTGGCATTCGTGAACCCACACTGTTTGCATGTCCCTTAGCGCCTTAGCCGTCTTTTCGGAAAGGGGTCGAATGTCGAACGCGTTGATTTCGGAGCAACGAGGCCGCTCTCGGGAAGCCGTCACGGTGAGTTGCTGCATGCAGCTATTGAGATTTGCGGGAAGATTGCGGCAGGCTCGCACGGCTGCGATCAGTGTTAGTGACTGTTAGTGAGTGTGTGGGGGGGAAGCTTCTGCCAGGTGAGCTTGCTATTGCCGAATCAGAGGTTGCTCAATTCTGTTCGGCCCCCAGGGGCCACCGTAAGACATCCATCCTTTCCCGCCGAACTTGAGTCCAGATCTTTTCGATCAATTCCAACAAGCCCTGGACGTCGTGAGCGCCAAGCGAGAGAATGGAGCTCGGATTGACCCAAGGGGTTCTCCGGGCTCCTCGTGAGGCTTGCAGAAGCCCCGCCCAGGAGGCGTGGCGTGCGGAAGTACAGCAGTGTTGGTGCTGGCAATCGGAGCAAGCACCTGAGAAGGCGAACTTGTCTCGCTGTCTTGCATGTATCAGTGCGCCAATCTTCATTAGCTGCTCTGGAGTGTGCTGGGTTGATTGCCTTTGCTCGACACCGAGGCGCATTGCTGGTGGCATTGGTTCTTTAAGAGATAGCATATCCGATAGCACGATCCAAGCAATGGCCACCAGCTGAAAAAGGCGTGTCTCCGTGTTCTGTCTTCACGAACACTTCCGGTTCCGAAAGAGCCTTGGGCAGGTCCAAGCCTTACCTTGCAGCGTAGATGGCCCAAGCCTCAAGCACACACATGGTGAAGTAGAAGGCTCCTTGCATAACACTACCGGCAAACATTGACGGACAGTCTGACATCACCGTCAGCGACCACACCTAGAAAAGGCTGTTCACGTGTGGGCTTTCATGCCCGCACATCTAACGTTGACAAGTTTTTTCTACCTCGTGACACTCGTGCTCATGGCCGCCATTTGGCAACAGATTCATGAAGATGAGGCTGAGATCAACGGATTGCACTGGAGCCAACTGACAGTTGACAATGGATGCAAGTCCAGGAGCTGGCACGCAGGCTGTATGCGGAGGAGATGGCGCAGCTTGAGGTTTGCGAGTCCGCAATTAGTTTTCGCAGTCTTCGGCAGTATCAAAACTTTCTGAGGACTTCGGATGTGTTTTTAACCTATACCATACTGTGGTCCTAATTCTCATGCAAGACAAAGTGCCCGATCCGACAGCAGGCAGTGCTCGAAAAGATGCTTTCGACGTGAAAATAATCGCAGTGTCGTCCCGGTTGCAGCGGCACATGTATCCCGCACTGCAGTGTAGGTCAGACCTAGATCCCAACTTCCAGAAGTTAGCAAGCTTGTGCGCAATTCACCATGAACGATCTTACACTTCAGTTTGTTCTACAGGCATGATTTGTCACTTAGTTTCAACAGCAACCTTATTTATGGCTCTTGCAGGCCTTTACTCAGCATGAGCCCATCGATTTAGAGCAATTGGATGGAAGGGGCTGCTTCTCTGCAACTCAGCAAACTTTTTATGCTTTAGGCTGATCGTTGCCGAATCGAAGCCGTCTCCTCAGATCAGAGCCCCTTGGTAGGAGGTCCTCCCCAGGGAATTATTCGTCGAAGCTCAACCCTTATTCTAGTTGAGGTCAGTTGCTTGATTCTGTCTTTGCAGATCTTTGGACACAGAAGGTGGGTCTTTTGAGGGTATGCTAATTCTCAGGGTTGTGACGGAAGCGAAGCCCAGGCTTGGAGCAAGAGAGACTCCGGGAGCCTGAGCCTGCGGCGAAGAGACGGCGAATACAAGAATGCTTCTCGTCCCAGTAGCCAAAACTCAGGTCCCCAGTGATCTTGGCACCGTTGCTGAAAGTTGGCATAGCCGGGCAGAGTTGGGCTGTGATTCGCGCTGACATGTTGAGTCTTTGTCGATCAGATTCATCCAGGATGTGTGGCAACCGAGAACTATATTGAAGGCACGGCATGCCGCAAAACACCCCCAGGCGAGCAGCTGGCTTCTCTGGATCCTGTGATGGCTGCAAGCCATGAGGAGCGGGAAGAAGTCGAGGAGATGTGTCTTGCCGGTGAACAGAGTTGGCGGTCATGCAGAGGACTTCAGTACTCAATGCCAAGCGCCTTGAACATGGTCCAGACGACTAGCTCACCTAGCACAGATACGGAGTTGCTAGGTACAAGGTGCATGCCCTGAGTTTTCATGCTGCCATGCAGAGCGGACATAGACAGTCAGACGCGCACGAATTCGTGTGAGAAGGCACGCCCACCCATGAGAAGGCAAAGTCTTATGATCGGAGAATGCACATGCGCAGATGATTCATTGAAAGGTGGGCTTGCTGGCTCCGGGGCGAAAAACTCGACGAAGGGCTGCAGATCGATTCGGGGGCAAAGGACTCCCAGGCCTGGTCGCCTTCCTCTTTCCCCTGATGTTTGCTTCAATTGAAGGGCTGCAGCTGTTGGAGTAATTGCTGATCTGGAGTGCTTTCCTGATGTCAAGACTGTGGCTTTTGTGGGAGGATTCATGATCTGGATGCTGTCAGTGCAGGGTTGACGGCTGCTGAGGCATACGCTCTGCATGCCATCCATGCACTGATGACCGAATTCAGAAAAGCCCCTGCGCCAACGATCCGCGCTGCCTTCGAGCAGGCAGACCCACAAACGGCAGTGTGCGCAGACTGTGGAGAGAGAGAGAGAGAGAGAGAGAGAGAGAGAGACTTTTGACGGGATGGGGCAGCTCCCCAGAGCGGGAGGCAGGAACCTGCCTGCTTCCCAAGCCCCAGAGCAAAGCAAAGCAAAGCGAGAGTTAAAAGATGTATGTGGAGGCGGGAACCTACAGCCAAGCACGCTCAATTCTGGAGGCGCTGTGGCTCCGCGAGGCCCAACCACAGCATACGCAGCTAACCGAAGCAGCTGCAAGGCGAGCGAAGACAACGAATCGTTGAAATGCTCCCGGCCAAAGAAGCCTGCACCTCCTTGTGAAGTACCAGCGATGCTGCAAAAGGTGCCTGGCAGCATTTGCCTTCTGTGAAGTGGGCAATTTTCCCGAATGCACGAAGCACGTTCACGGTAACACAGTGACATCTTAGAAAAGGAAATGGATCTCGGGCCAGACGCTGTCGCCATTGGTGAAGCCTTCACAAAGCGAAAGCAGGCGGTATGCAATCACGTGCTTTTCGTTGTTCGGTTTTTCTTCACAGTGTTCAGGCTCGGGCTGAGCGAATCCGAGAGCTGAAAGCTCTCGGCGGTCTCGGCACTTGCGGGTGCTGCTTTGATGATGAGCTCCTGCCAGAGGAGGGGCGCTGAAAAGAGTACTACGGCCTTAAGCCCAGCCTAAGCCGCTCTTGGTCTTAATCTTAGCCTCTAGCACGTTTAGCAGGGATAGCCATGTGTGGGTGCCAACTGTGACCTTGCTGGAGTTGAGCTTCGTGGGTCTTGTGGGCTTCGTCGCTGGGAGACAGGAGGAGTTGCGGTGTACCGGAGCGGCTGGGCATGGTTTCTGCATTCCGTGTGCCCAGAACTTAGTTTACTGCCAGCTGCGCTTGACCTCCGAGAGGAGCTTCCGGTCCTAAGTCGCTGAGGTCAAGCGCGCGGCACTGGAGTTTTTTGGACGGGGATTGTTCACCTTGAACCTGAGCGGGGGTAGCTCAGAAGACCCAAGCAGCTCCGTGGGGAGGAGCCCTTCGAAGAACTGCTCGTTCGCCCGTAGATGCTAGCGATCGCTCTGGCAGAGCGCGCAGTGGCAAGGAGTGATGCTGGGATCCCGGGTTTGAGCTGTTCAAAACTCGGCCGCTCGGACGGAGATTGAACAGGAGTCCGCTAGTGCATACACTTCAGCCGCTGGCTGTGCGAGTGAGGTTGCCTGGACACTTCTGGTTGTCAAGGCCATTTCACGGACACGGCTCTGAGGAAGGCCCCGTCATGACATGCTGCCGACAGGCTGATTGGCCCTGTGTTTCTAGAGTTTGGGGCTGAGTATGGTGCAAGAAGGAAGAGCCTGGGTTCACTGTTCGAAGGCTCTGCCGAAGAAGGACTATGCGACTGGGCTGCACTTGTTAGTGGCTACAAGCATTGCGTGTGTGGTAAACATGCATGATGCTTGCTGAGGCTCGGTACTCACGGCGCTCAGCCGCGCTTGAAGCGGCCAATTCTGGGCTAACAGACCTGGTCGCATGCACCTGCCTCAGGGTGTGAGTACAGGCATAGTGGCTTCCCTGGCTTCCTCATGCCACCAGTATCGTTGATACATCAGATCTACTTGCTAGGCCCCAGCTGCGACTTCATGGTGCAGATGACAGATCCAAATGCGCCTTCGTTCATGCTTTGCCACCCTGCCGTGCATAGGTTTCCCCCCATCTGGCCACCATTGAGCTCAGGATGGCATTGTAAGGTGCTTGGATCCGGAGTGTGGTCAGACAACATGCCGCTGGTGCATGAAGCCCGAGCACAGCCCGCTGAAGTGCGATGAAGTCGAGAAGGTGGCGCGAATTGCCACGAGTGTAGCCAGATATGCCGTCTGAAACTAGACGGCCTGCAGCACAGGACGGAGAGACAAAAATCAGGTGGGAGAACTACGGCCAGTGCAAAAGCGCACGTCAGCTGCGGGCAGCTGCGTCGCCTGCGCAGGACGTTCCTGGAAGAGAGGATGGCAGAGGCAGCCCTCCGGAGGTGTCCCAACAAGAGATGCCGGAAACCCTACGAAAGGTGCGGCCAAGAATTCGCGAGATTTCTGGGTCTAAGCGCACTGACCAGGGAAGAGGGCTGCAACCACATCAAGTGTCCCTGCGGAACACACAGCGGAAGCCTCGGTGCTCAGCTGGCAGCCGCAAGCCAACTGCGAAGAAGCGCGGGAAAGGCTGCTATCTCTGCGGCCAAGAGTTGGACAAAAAGAGGCCCTACGACCACTACAAGGAGACTTCACTCTGTCATGGAGCTGCGACAGTTACGAAAGGCAAAGGGGTCGCTTTGTTTCAGGATGGCCACTTGGGTGGAGGCAAGAACGACGACTCCTCCAAATGTATTGTGTGCGGGTCCCAGTGCCTTCTTCCAAGTTACATAGCTGCCTGCTACATGCGGGAACACTCAAACTTAAACGCCAATTCTCCGAAGGGCCATTTTTGGGCTCAAGAAGCATTTGGGTCCAGATCTCTGCCTGAAACTTCCTCTCAGCCATGTCTGCCATGGACCACATCAAGGAGCCGATCTTCGTGGACGCACCCTTCAGCGCGGATTACCCACGGCGATTTAGCCATCCGTGTGCATGCTGTATCCCCTCGCTGAAAATACGCGGCATACCAAAAGGCTCTGTTCCACTCCCCCCCGAGGAGGCGCAGAACTTGCTAAAGCAGCTGGAAGGCTCTTGGAAGGTCGTGCCCTTGGATGCACGGAGTGGCATCACGTACGAAGACGTGATGGTCAGAGATGACTACTACATCATGTCAGGCGGCATGCATAACAGAAGGGTTCAGCATCGTGACCACAACGGACAGTACCGCAGCCACCACGTGGCCGTGGCCAATGCAACGATGAAGGAGCATTTCCATTTCTACAAAGGCCCCAATCAGGAGATCTATCTTGACTACATCGGAAGCATGCTGAGGAAACTCGACGTCGCGGGCGGCGAAGTGGAGCTGAATAATGGTATGGGAATATCAATGCTTTGGCAGCGGGGCTGGAAAAAGGACGGCCTACCTCCTCCGCAGCAACAGATGGCCGGTGTTGTGGTGGCTGTGGAGCCGGCAGTAGTTCAAGCCACGGTTGTCGGTGCCAGCAACGTCGAAGGCAGCCAGGAGCATCCAAGTGCAGTCCCCTAAGCCGGTGCAGAGGCCAAAGGCTTCTTCGCGGTTCGGGTGGCAAAATGAGTTTCGGGAGCGAAGTCTAGCATCGCACAGGCGACAGCGCGTAGGCTCCTGTTTTTGTGCGCCATGTTTCAAGATTGCGTTGCTTTGGCCAAGGATACTAGAATGAAAGTACGTGCTTTGCCCGGTGCTGCTGGACTTACCGGAGCTTCGCAGGTAAAACCCTCGAAGGCCCGACTGCCCTGAAACAGAAATTTTCATCATCCCACGGCTGCAACGTATTGCGACGAGCCGCTTCTCTAAGTGGGAGAGCAAGGTGAGTTGGAATTCCGTTGCAAAAGTGCGTCTCCCTTTATGTTGGGACCAATGTACCAGTGACATCGCCCCGCTTGCTCCTGTTGTGAGTGCCGAAACCTCAATTATCCCCCAATCCTGCACGAGCGGTTGCGGGTGCTGTGAGGGTGTGGTGGTGGCGACTGTTGGGGAGTGCAGTGGGTGTTGCTTTGGGCATTGTGATGCGGCGGGGGATGGGGCATTCTTGTGGAGGCGTATGATCGGAGTTTGTAGTGGTAGCGGTAGAAATTGCTCGTGCTGCTAGTGGTATGGCGGTGGCAGCAGTGGCAGCGGCAGTCGGCCAACAAAGCCCCAACACCTGATGAGCAAGGGCGGTCATCGAGTGGGGAGCAGGGGATGGGAATCTAGATGCCCGGCGAAGCCTCCGCGGATCATTTTGATTTATTCTCCTGTGGAGGTATGGAACTCCAGCTTGGGCTGAGAAGACTGCGAAGCAAAGGCAGCAGGCCGACATCGTCATAAATTCTTGGGTGGACACGTCCCACCATGGGTGCCTCCCAGGAGACAGAGGAAGCTCTGAAGCAATACTTGAAGGAAAATCCAGAACTCAAGGAGATTGCCGCGGGCTCCAGTGAAGCGAAGAAGAAGAGGCGCGTTCATGGATTTGTGCAGGGAGCCGTAGCTGCCATATTCTTGGAGCGTTTCCCGATCCTGATATGTGATCAGACATCGTCTGCAGTGCTGCAGTCGTTGACAAGTTGCTGCTTCCAAATGGTTGCTGCGAACACAGACCATTCTGATGCCGTGCTGAGTCTCCTGGTAAAAACTCTGTCCAGGTTAAAGCAGTTGATGCAGACGACTCCAGAAAAGCGGAACCGTGGGAAGTCCAGAAAAGAGAACGACATTCCCAACCTTCAAGTCGACACTGCCATTTTGCTGCAACTGCGGGGCGGCAGTAAATGCTGCGTGATTTGCGCTCGCCTTGCCGTGTGGTGTGCCAACTGAGGCTTGTGCCGTACAGTGAAACAGTGCACAGAAGCTGTGAGAAGAAAAAAGGGCTTGGTGTTGTATTCCCAAAATCAAATCTAGTGTGTGCACTCTAAGCCGTGCGCGCGCTCTGTCTCCCGAGTCCCCCAGCAGCCGCGTGCGCTCTGCCGCCGATGGCCAGATACATTCTGCGGGGCTAGTCTCGACCCGTAGCAACCTCACTGTTGCCAAGTGGCGTGCAATCGAAGCAACCGTGACTGTTTGGTGCAGGCCTGTGGCCCAAGGGTTTGGCTGATCGAAGTTTTGCTAGCATGGCCAAGGAGCAGCAATGTTTGCCGGGCGATGCACTTACATGTGAAGCCCTGCAGCGGGAGCTGCAAAGGTTTGCAGAGAAGCTGCCAGATTTGTTCCAGACTTTCGCGGAGGAGACCGCCAAGATCTCCTGTGAGCAGCTAGAGGAGCTGCTGAGCCAGCGTGGCAGTGGTAGAGCTCCGGCTTTTTCCACTCGGGCACAGACGGTGGTCGATGAGACAGAGGGTGTACATACCGATCACGAGTGGGCTCACCGGCACGTGCGGCCGGCTGCACTTCGAGAATCTCCCAAACCGAACCAGCACATCAGCGTCAAAGAGATTTGGAAGGCGGTTGTTGACATAAGGCGGCCGACGCTCAAGGCAGAGCACGAGGCACCTGCATTGCAGATCGTTCCTCAACGTTCACTGCCAGCGCCGAAAACAACAGGACCAAGAGTCTCGATAGCATCGGAACGCTCGCTTCCGCCTCCAGAGCCTCTGCCACTCCCGGGCTCTGTGCCGGGCTCCGTGCAGGAGGCGGGCCAGGCGGGGGAGGTGGTGCCACCGGGCGATGATGGCCCGCCGGCCCTCCAGCCGAACCGGCCAAGTTCTCAGAGCATTGCGCAGCCCCCGGTGCCGGAGGAGCCTGACAAAGAGACAGAAGGCCACTCAGAATGGGAAGAGCCCGGCAATGCTCCTGCTGACGGTCCTGACGCTCCGAACACCTGGGATCCGCTCAGGCAGCGGCTAGCACGAATAAACACCAGCAAAGTTGATAAGCCGGAAGTTTCTCGCATGCCTACTTCTTGGTGGCACATCTACGAGATGCTGGTGTACGCCTGGCCGATGGAGTACTTGACACTCATGGTCATCGTCATCAACGCCTTCTGCCTAGGGCTGGAAACAAATATAATGGCGACCAACTTGCTGTCCACGACACCGGAGGAGTTCATCCGGCTCGGCTGGGCATTTTGCACCTTGGACTTGTTGCATCGGCCGGGCACAGCACGGCTTCCTGAGTCGGCAGTGAATTCCATGCCTTTCTGCAACTTTTAGAGCTCAGCTGTCAGATTTATGTAGGGCGCCGAGCGTTCGGCTTCCTGTGAACACAGGTGGTTTCTTCACCCTTGAGATGGTTCTGAAGATCTCGGCAAACCCCTCTCGGTTTTTCCTGGGCGCGGCCTGGACTATGAATCTGCTTGACTTCTTTCTGATGGCACTGCAGTGGCTCGATGCGACTTGGCTGGCCAAGAATATTCAAATGAACCATGAGGAAGGTGAGGTGAAATCTTGTGCTTCTTGTGCCTGGCATTTGGTCACTTCACGGGCCCAGGTCCTTGTAACCGTCCACACGGCAGACAAGGAGAATTCTGATGCTGGCTCCGTGAACTTCAACATTATGCGGTCTATTCGAATGGTGAGACTTGTGCGCATCGCGCGCAGCTCAGCCTTTCCCAAGCATGGCAAAGTACAGGGAGCTTCACTGCCTGCATCAGGTGCGGAGCTATCGGGTGCTGAGGCCGGCGTTGATTTGGTTTTCCCATGAAGCTGCTGTGCGAGCTTGCCATCCGTCGCTCGGGCTCGTCCATCCTCTCGCTCCCGCCATTTCTCCGCACCTTGCACTAGATTCCTAGATGTCGCCAGAAACCGGTACAGTGGGACTCGCACCGTCGAAGAATCGCAAAAAGATCCGCTGATATGAAGAATGAAAGACCACTTCGTGCGTCAGGATGCTGGGGGAAGTTCGAGCCATCATCTGGTCGGTGGGCACCTGCTTGAAGCCTCTGCTGGGAGCACTGAGCCTTCAATGCAACAGGCGTCGTGTATAATGTGTGTAAAGCGTGGGCAGGTGCAGTGTGTGCGTGTGCGAGTGTGTAGCAGGGTCTATCGGTTTGTCCTGCGTTTTTTGCCTCTCTCCCTCTATCTCTCTCCGGATTTAGAACGGTCTTGCAGAAAGGGTTTCCGGTTGATCGAAGGTTGGTTCTGATGACACTGCCTCTTGGCTGGAAGTTGCAAGAAGTCTCAACGAAGATCATGGCAGTTGAAATGGTCGAGGATCTATTTGCTTGCAGTTTTCTTGGTTGACACTTGCAACTCCTATCGGGTGGCAGCAGACATTGCAGACGAGGGCTTTGAGCAGCTGGGGACCCTCGGACAATGATTGAAAAATGCGCACGATGTCGGACCTAGTAATTAAATGTGGTAAGGTAGAGTCTGGTAGAGGGGCCAAACCACGCTGGCGGAGAACGTCCAATGTACTCCTATCGGCTGTCTTTCCCCAATGATCCGGGACCCGTGAACAGACAACGAGACAGAGTTCTCCAGCGGTTCGTTCATATTCTTTGTCGTGTGGGTTACTGTTTGTCTCTTGTTTCCCGAGTTGACCCGGCTTCGGCTGCAACCGGCAGGAAGTCTAGAATGAAAAATTGAAGCATCAAGTCCCGAAGCAGTGTTTCGTATTGCCCAGGACCTACTACGGATCACTTGAGCGAGGCCTCGCGAAGCTGCTGACTGTCGATGTCACTGTCTCACAGAGCTGTCGTCCTCGAATGTCTGCTTTCGGGTAGTGAGAGCGCTTCCAACTGGTGCCTGTGCTTTTGCTGTGGAACCTGGTGCAGGCATGCTTACACTGTGGCAGATCATTACCGGCGGGATGGATTGGGCGGTTGCTGTGAACCCCTTGATGGATCCTTCGCCACTCAAGTATGTTCCGGTGCGAAGTGCGAACGGTGAGTATTTGCGTAGATTCGTAAATGGCGCTGAGGATCACACCGGGCCGGTGCCGGTGTTCGTTGTCTTTTGCTACATTGCTTTCGCATTGCTAGCGCTCCTCAATGTCATCACAGGGGTCCCAGCCTTTGTTGTTCTGTGCGCTGTGTGTGTGCGGGTCAGCACTTGAGTCTCTTGCGGAAATTGAATGGGTGTTGCCGAAGCACCGCTCCGCATGCTTTGGCCAAATATTTCGCATCTAGTTACTGTGAAATCATGCCCAGAAGCCGGTAAATGGCAGGAATTTACTATCTTGAACCTGCCCCATGCAACAAACTCAGGTCTGCGTCGAGAGTGCGGTAAAGAGGGTAAAGGAGGACAAGGACAATTACTTGGTGCAGTACGTGCGTGGAGTCTTCAAGCTACCTGCCAAAGGGCTTTCGTTTCAAGCTGCTGCCAGTGCTGCCAAGCAAGAAATCGGTTGGCCGAGGCGAATGGAAACTTCTGGTACTGGTGTCATCACTTGGGATGATTTCCAGTCAAGTGTAAACTCCAAGGACATGAAGGAACTGCTGCTCGCAGCCGGCATGCCCAGCATGATCGCATGTTTTGAGCGTGTGTGTGTGTGTGCGCGTGTGTCTGCACTTTCAGCCGATAAGACCTTCAGGAGCTTTTCAAGGCTATTGACCTGGACATATCCGAGGCTCACTGTGCAACCGGTCTCAACGAAACAAAGAGAATGTTCTTTGTGTCTTGTGCATCACAAGCTTAACGTGAGGTTTCCTGAGCTTGTGCATCGGCCGCACGCGCCGTTTTGAGCAGAGAGTCATGACTTAGTTCCATGTGCCTGCAGCCAATCGATTCGTTTTTCATGTGCGGCAGCGACACCATACCCAGAATCTAGACTCGTGTCGCGTGCTGGAAATCCTTTTGTTAAAGCCGGCAGGTGCTTTTCACCGAGTGTTCTTCCGCATTCGGGCAGAGGGAGGTGTGCCCACAAGGATCCACAACAATGGGGTAGATTGCGCAAATGAATAGAAAGAAGTCCTCGACCGTGATTGATGCAACACCGGACTGCGAGCATGCTGGGTACAAGGGTTCTCGCACCATGTGGAGATGGTAGACAGGCCAGGATGTGTTCCTCGCCCTCTCGCTCTCTCTCTCTCTCTCTCTCTCTCTCTCTCTCTCGCTTTCTCACTCTTTCACACTACAGTCATATCAGCACAATATTATTCCCGCGCACGTAGACACACGCTCTCCCCTCTCTGTCTCGCTCTCTCTCTCTCTCTCTCCTTCCCTCCTCCTGTCGTTGAACTCTGCCTTGAAAATTTGTGTGTGAGAGAACGGGCCGGCAAAGCGAGCATCTTCAGAGCCTCGTTTCCTCGCAGCTTGCCCTGCTTCGCTCCATGAGAAGCTCCGGAGCTTGAACCCTCCTCCTCAAGACTTCGCCGAAGCACAAGGTATTCAAGATATTGGACTTAGACGATGATGGCACGCTCGACGCGGATGAGTTTCTCAGCGGGTGCTTGCGCCTCAGAGGCGCAGCAAAGGCCCTGGATGTCTTGGCAACTTGGCATACATGAGTTACAGTGACGGTCTTCTTTGCACTCTGGCAGCGCAGTGTGAGGGTGACCCCAAGAAATCTCTATGCGCATGCCAGATGACCCTGGTGTGGCTTTACATCGCCTGCCAGGTCTTAATGCGAGAGATCCGGTCGATGCAGCAGCAGCTCGTGCAACAGCTTCAGTCAGCGCCAAGCTAGATCGTGGCGGCAGCTTCTGGGCTGAACCACCTTCTCGTAGAACGCATCGCCCTCCGACAGACTCGGAGGACACAAGTTGCTTGGGTGAGGCATTTGGCTTACTGCCGTTTATGCTGTTTCGAAGTCTTCTGTACAGACGCTGGAGCGCGCAGTGCTTCCAAGAAGCTGTGCGTCAGACAACCCGATGTTGCCTAGTTCGCAAAAAGGCGTGCAGGTTTCCATAAGGTGCAGACTTGCAGTGCAGCTGCCGGCTCGAATCTGAAGCTGGCTGAAGGGCTTGGGCTCTTGCGGTAGCGTAGGGGCGTAGCAGCTGAGCGTGGCAAGTTGCCGGACCAGGACTTGGTCGGCGGCATCTCAGCTGCAGAAGCATTGAATAACGATAAGCCTTGTGTCACTGCACCGCTTGGTGCCAGATACTCCAGAGGTGGCTATGGCACTCAAGCTAAAGCTTCAGTATCTCGGCAAGAACCGCAGCCTCGCAGTACATGGCGACGATACCATCCAGTCGCTGAAACTTACGATACGGAGTCTGCTTGGTTTCACGCCAACCTCTGTCCTCCTCGACGGTGCGCAATTGATGGACGGCAAGAAGCTTTCAGACTATCGTGCTGATTCTGCTTCGATCGTGAGCATCAAGCGCCAGAAGGCTGTGCGTTGTGTCCGCACCATCATAGCAGTGCTCGGCATGTACCTGCAGTTTCGTCCGTGTCCGAACAATCTGCTCTCCCAATCGAGCGAAAATGATTCTGCCACCTTACAGGTCAGGATGGGCGATGAAGCTTCAGGCTGCGGCGGCGGCAGCAATAGAGCTCTCACGGGCCGCGCAGATCTCTGTCAGGTCTATCACCAGAAGGAGACGATGTGGCGCTTGTTACTCCGCCACGGAAAGCTGCGCGAAGCCTGCGTCGCAGGCCTTTGACTACGATGGATGTTGATGCGACTCTCGAATGCACGGAAGCAGGAAGGGCTTCTTCAGTCGAGAGTCTGAATGGTCGGTACTGTAACCCTTAACCTTTGCCCGCGTGAGTCTTGGGATGTCTTGCCGCAGGCACCAAGCCTCAAGAACTGGGGCCCTATTCTATGGAAGGGCAAGCTAGGTCCTCTAGGTCCTAGGTGGATGGCAAGCGGGCTGAGGAGGAGGTTGTAGCGGTGAAGGAGCTTGGAGATGGGTGGCCATTGCAGCCAGTGTGCAGATGTTGACGCAGGTCATGCCGAGGTAGTTGGGGAAGATCTTGCTTGTAGCGGCTGTCCGGCTGTCGCTGCATGCGACCTCTGCTTCTCATCGCAGAAGCTGAAAGAAGAGCAAGGAAGACTGCGCATGCTCCTGCATCAGAGCTCGGCAGAGCTGCAGGCAGTACAGGCTGAGTTGGAAGCATCGCAGGCAGCCGCAAGTGGCACGGCACAGGAGCTGCTGTCGGTGAGAACTCAGTTGAACCAATCCCTGGAGCTGCGAGAGCAGCTGAGAGCAGAGGTACAGGAGGAGCAAGCACAGCAAGCGCGGCAAGCACGGCAAGCACAGCAAGCTGCAAGCAGAGCGCAAGTCGAGCGAGAGCAGCTCCAGGTCGAAATCCTCGAGCTGTCCGAGAGGTTGGAGGCAGCTCGAGAGCTTGAGAAGCTCGAGGCCGAGGAAAAGGAAAAGCATCTAGCAGAGACTCGAGAGTGCCAGGCTTCTCACTTGTCTTACCCTGACTGGACTGCCTTAAGCAGAAGCGTTTGCGCCGTTTGCTGGGAACCATCTGCAGACAGAGTGGCGGTACCTTGCGGTCACCAGTGTGTTTGTGAAGGGTGTTTGGCGAAGGTGTCTGCATGTCCGGTTTGTCGGCAGCCGGTGGAATGCTTCCTGAAAGTCTTCGTAGCCTGCCCAGCGCACTTCGAGGAAGAGTGCATGGAGCTTCGAAAGAGCCTCGCCATGCAGGAAGCTCGGACTCAGGAGCTCCAGACTCGAGCCGAGGCGAGCGAAGCGAGGGGAAAGTCAGCGAAGCTTTGGATGAATGCAACCACCGTGCTGAAGCCTCAGGACTTCCAGCGCCTGGCAAAGGCCACGCGTCGCGGTCGTGAGTTGGACAAGTTGCTTTTGCCCCAAACTTCGCGAGCACGCAACGGGGAGATCCTCACAGACCAGACGATGGTGGACCTGGTGGATTTTCAGCGCCATTTGGCTAGCTTACCTAGGCCGTCCTTGCGACGTTGATGGCCACGGCCGTCGAAGGGCGACCTGAAGAACGAGGGAAGACGTCAAAGCACACGTCCCAGGTTCAGACTCGGCGCAGATGTATACATCCCCAGGGAAGCCATGCAGAGCCTCACCATGTGGGCATTCAAACCAGCTTAGTGAGATGAGCGCTTGCAAGAGTTTGCTAGAGACTGCGACGCAGAGTTTCTTCTACTCAGGAAGGCCTTGGCTGAAGCTCGAAGGCTTTGCCTTGAAGGGCCGTTCATGGAGTTCGCCGGCTCATGGGAAGTCCTAGCAAGCGGTCTGCTCCCCAGGAAGGCAGGCTGCATCAAGAGTGCACGTGGGATTAATTTTTCTTCCTGCGTGTCCTGATACATCTTCTGTCATTCGTGGAGGAAGTGGACGCTCAGACATTGCTCCTTGAATGGATTCGGTTGCGGAAACAGAGCCACTAGACGATCGCCTCCTGCGTTGTTGCAAAGTAAAACGCTTGCATTGGCGATTTGCCATTTGTACAATTCGAGACACTGAGGCTCCAGAGCCTGAGCATGTGCAACGGCTGTGTGCAAGAGGCGCGACAGCAGATTGCAGAGACACATGCTGCTTGTCATCACCTAGCTTCCCATTCTGGCACTTGAGGGTCAAACTAAACCTCCCAGCATGTGACACTTTGGATGACCTGACTGCCTGCAGGTGGTTTAGTAACTGCCAATTCCTTTCCATCTGAGGCACTTTGAGTAGCGATGCATTTACCTTACAGCGACGGGGAGCCCGCGGCTTACAGATGAAAGACACCCTGGCAGTTCTTGCTTGGTTTGTTTTTTGGGCTTCGTCACTCTTGGCGGCTGCCATGTCAGCCATGTGGAGCGCATCTTGTTTGATTCGTACTTCTGCTGTGACGGCTGGTTCAGGAGCAGCACTGAAATCGGGTGCGCCACTCGGGCTGCCACGGGGTGCCAGAGCAGGGAAGCTGCTGATTGTGTTCTGGTAAGAGAATGGGGTGCGACCGGGGTCGTGGTTGAGCATGGGTCGACAGAAGCTGCGCTCGAGCACAAAAGGAGGGGCAGCAAACTCAGATATGCAGCCCGAGGGCGAATTGCACTGTTGTCGTCAATGCTGTTGTCATAGTAATTACTTGCCTCATCTTGCAGCCCCTTCTCACATGCAAGCATTCACATGACAGCCACCATGGCTTTGATATTCCACCCGCGTTCCCCGAATATATTTATGTGCGTGTTCCTGCATGCACGAGTCGCTAGTAGAAAAACAGACATACAGTAGCCCGGCACGAGTGATCACATGTCAACATCGTCCTACGTCACGACACTTTTTCATTGTCCCATGGCAAGATGGAGCAAGTCCTGTGTGTGGCCGTGGCCGCCAATTTGGAATGAATTTGCTCGAGAAGGTCGGCGACTTCATTGCAAAAAGAGGTGAAGACCTGCATCAGCAGATTTCTGGCAAGCGCGTCTTCTCCGCGCACATCACCAATGCCACGAAGAAGGTCTTGGAAGTGCAGGGCAAGCCAATGGTGAGCTATGGAAGGTCAGGGCGTTTCGTTAATTAACACAGGAAGCACGCGCGGTGGGTCCTTTCACAAGCTTCACTTGCCGGGCATGCGCAAGAGGAGGGAAGAGGGGTTTGAGGACCCGAAGCTGCTGGGATCGACCAGCCTACAACTAACATTCCTTGTGAAGGTGCCGCGAGTATTGTAGCTAGCTAGACTCCAGACCTAGATAATTCAGATGACGCTGTCTAACCGTGCAATCAGGCCCAAGGAGAGAAATAGGGATTGTCATTGCGAAGTTTCGAAGTTTAATAAGAGCAAGAACATGGCCAAGCATGCGCAGATGCATCTCACGGTAAATTCCTTGGCGGATTTGTCCAGGTGCAGCCACTTCTCCAAGCTTCCTCCAGGCGAGGCGGGCACCATCAAGTTCGAACACGACGGCGAGCATGGCGGTGCCTTCGAGTTCACTTTAGGAAGGGATCGCTTCTTCCTTGGGCAGCTGCTTGGTGTACATTAGCATGTCGTGCGCGTTTTGTGTGAGAATTCGAGCAGCTCGGTCTGCTCGTGTCGACTTCGAGGAGGGTCACAAGAGCTGAGGTATATGCGAGCTAGCTACTCCTCCCTTTTCGGCCAAGACCAATTTGTTCTGGAGTTTGGTGACAAGACCTTAAAGTACCTTGGGCCTGTGGACTGTGAACTCAAGCACTGAATTGCCCCTTAAAGCCGCGACCGACTCTGAATGGACGGAGGGCTCTTGAATTCGTCAGCGGAGGCAGTTCTATCTGGGGATGCCCCAGCACTTCATGGGATTACCGAATCGCGGCGTCTCCCGGACCGAGGGTTTGGAAAACACTGCGGCTTGGACTAGCAAGCTTCGCAAAGTAGCAAATTGAAAAAATGCACAGGCGCTAAAGTGTTTCCCCGTCCCCGAGCTGTACGCATTGCCCTAGATGTTGGGTGTCCTTGCCTCTGACTTCTGTCGGTGAGCTGCATTTGTTCGGGACCTGGGATGGGCAGATCGTTCCAGGCCATCGTGAGGAAGGCCACGTGCTCCACCAACTCCCAGGCCAGGCCCTGCAAAGGTCTTTGGGGGAGAATCCAAGCGCTTGAACATGCCGGAACTGCAGGTGGAGGTTCTCCTGGCGCCGGCACTCAGCCTCCACATCTTCGAGGACAGAGTGAGTTGTTTGGCGCCACGGCATGTCGAGCCTCCCTGGCTATGCCCCGAAGGAGCTGGACGAGCTGGATGGTTTGCAGCAGCTTTGTTTGATTGCTTGGTTTCCAGTCAGCGTTCAGCTTAGGGGCATCGTCCGAGTGGCCTCCATTGCCTACCTCTTGGCTAAAAGGGTAGTGTTGCCTTGCACGGTCAAAAGCACCAGGAGCAGGAACGACGATAAGACGAAGAGGGGGACGACAACCACAGCAACGACGCCAACATCCCAGAACCAAGAGACGAGAAGCCACCGCCACAACAACAACAACAACAACAACGACACACCAGCAGCAGAGGCAGCAGCAGCAGCATCAGCAAGAGCAATAGCAACAGCAGCAAAAACAGCAGCAGCAGCAACAGCAACAGCAGCAGCAACAACTGCAAGAAGAACAACAATAGCAGGATCACTACCACGAGCAATAGCAACAGCAGCAGCAACGGCATCAACGGCAACAGCAACAACAGTTAGAAGCAGAAAGCACCGGCAAGAGCCGCGACCACAACGACAACAACAACAACAACAACAACTGTAACGAATACAGTTTCAGCATTTTCAACAACCACAACCACCACAGCAATCACAGCAAACACAACCACCACGACAACCAGGACAACGACAAGATCAACCTCAGCAGTATCCGACAGTATCAGGGAAAGCGAAGAAACAGAAACAACAGCCGCACCGAAAACACGAAGCACACAACACCGAGAAGCCATCGCAGGAACCCTCGTCTTCCTGTGTCCGGTCGGAGATATCCGTGATTTCATTCTGCGCCGAACTAGTCTTTACCTAAGTACCTGGTGCAACATCCAGAGACCCATATGAAATGTCGGTGAGGGTGTCCTGCTGTTTCTTCCGTGGGGCGTTCTGATCACTTAGGACTTGTCGGCGTGGACTCCTTGCTCCACTAGACTGCGTAGTTCTTTCCAGTACGAACTATCCCCAGGGTATCCATAATCTTTAAACAGCGGGGTGCGATATCAAGCCCATAGTTTGCACTGCGGGACCCATTCAAGAGATTTCCTACCTTAGCAAAGTGTATCAGGCAGCTTGCAGTGGCGGAGACATGCGAATTTGCGAAGCCGGAGCTCTTGAGTGGCGCCTTGTTCATTGAGGCATGGAGCTTCAGGTATGTTCTTTCGCAGCTGCAAGCAAATGCACGTTGTGCGTGCTGCCTCATGAGCCCATGCGCGATCAGAGTTAATGCCAGGAGTTTCACTGCTTGCGAGACGGGCTCGCGCACAGCTCGCTGCATGAGCAAGCTTTGGCCCTGGATCTTCTCATCGGGGCTATGATCGCCAATGGTTTCGTGGCTGACAGATTTGTTGTTGAGGAGGGAAAGTCTGGAAAGTTTCATGGCAGGATGGAATGCAGGGCATGGTGAAGCATTGTGCTTGGGCTTGGGGTGAGGTGAGGCAGGAGGCGCATGAGCCTGGGTCGCCGGATTTGACAACTGTACTTCCTAGTCCTAGTTGTGGCCATGTCACGGGGTAAACGTCTTCAGCAGGGGATTGGTTCTTGAGATATTCTGCGCTGTCCAGCGAAGATTTGACTTGGGCAAGTCGTCCGAGGATTGTGCGGCTCCGCAAGCCAAAGGGCTTCCCATCTTTGGCAAGAAAGCCGATCCCGATTTCCCCCACAAAGCGGCAAGATGTCACCTTATCGCGCCTCAGCTGAACAGAAGTCAGCAGCTGACTACAGTGGAACCTGAGAAATTGGCTGTGAGGCTTTTATGCTAGCCTCTCCAAAGAAGTATTGGAGTCGCATGCTGATGTGTGCCACAGCCTTTTGCGAAGCAGTGCTTTGAGATGCGCTGAGGCTTGACTGCCATACAACCCCAGACATATATTGCGAGTGTTTTGTCCACAGAATGCAACTCGTTTGACTCCTCGCTGTTGTAAGGAGCCCGTTGTCGCGTTTTGCAAGTCTCAACGGCAGTGGCCTCCGCCGGCAAACGTTGGGCTAAAGACTGCGGAGGGTGCGGCTTGGGACCCATTCAGGAGTTTCCGATTCACAGAAGAGTGGACCGGGGTCCGTGCGTTAGGGCTATGTGTGGCTATACTATATGTATCTGTATGCGTTAATGCTATATTAGTCTATATGGGGCTCGCAGCAACCTAAACACTCTCGTACTCCGAGAGAGGCAAAAGGTAGTCTCTTGTAGTAGCTACGGGGGCAGGAGGCAAGTGATAGAGTTTGTGGTACGGAGGATTGTGCTTGTCAAGTTTTCCAAGTCTTCCTTTAATCGTTTCACCTATCGATGTCATTGTCTCTTTGTTTCTAACTGCGTCGATGATGTCTGAGGCCTCTCATGCAAAGATCGGTTTCGATACGAACGATGCCATCTTATGTAACCACTTGCAAAGTACGGCTGACACGAAGCTGCGGGGAAGCGTCTGCAGCGGACAGACCTCTGAATCGGCAGACAAGTTTCTTCAAGAGCTTGTTCGCTCGTGCGTTGATGCCTCATGCCGGGCATCTATGACAAGGAGTCGTCTCTTCGGACGGCTACTTGAGACTTGCAGTCCGGAAGCAGCCGGCCCTCTCAGGGAATATTTGAGCGCACATCCGCTCTCCAGAAGATGCTGCTCCCTGAAACAGTCCGGAAAATCAGAGGCAACTCATTTCGAGGTGTTTTGCGCAGAGCTTTTCGACAACCTTGATCCGCACACTCGTGCGCAGGCTGTGGTAGCATCGCTCGGCAGCAGCTCGGGAGACTACAGGAGCCTATCTACAAACTCGAAATCTGGTGAGTTCTTCTTCCTTTCGCAAGACAAGAAGTACTTGGTCAAGACTATTTCAGAGGATGAAGGCCTTCTCCTTTTCCGGATGTTGCCAGGATACCAGGATCACATCCATTCCACACCAACCTCACTGATTGTTCGCTTCGCTGGCCTATACTGTGTGACAGTCGCGGGCGGTGGGCTACGTTATTTCATCATCATGAAGTCTGTGTTTGATCCCGCCGTAGAGATTCACTCCCACTACGACCTAAAAGGCTCTCTACACCACCGAAAGAAGAAGAAAGACGAATCCACAGGCAAAGATGAGGACTGGATCCAAGACAAGATGCAACTGAGCCCATCAGAACAGAAAAGGCAGGAGATGTTAGCGGCTCATGAAGCTGATGTCCAGTTCCTTCAGGAACATGGCGTTATGGATTATTCCGTCCTGGTTGGGATCCACCATGTTAATGTTGGCCAGGGGCAGGGTGGCCGTTTGGCGAGTTCGGCAGCGAGCGCAGGGACGCCTTCTGTTTGTGGTACCAAAATCTATTTCCTGGGGCTCATCGATTTTCTAATCAACTTTGGGCTGCGAAAGCAGGCCGAACATCTTCTGCGGGCCGCCCAGGGGCACGGGCAGTCAACGTCCTGTGTCCATCCCTCAGATTATGCCGCGCGGCAGGCGAGATTCCTGCGGAGTAGTGTTTTCTCAAAACCGGACCTGGACAAGGGAACAGCCGGCTGCTTGAGAGTCCTGGTTGTAGCGGCCCGTAAGCTTCGAAATGCCGACGTCATGAGCAAGTCAGACCCCTATGTCTCGGTCCACCTGGGTCTACAGAAAGCTGACACGCCAACCATACAAGACGATTTGAACCCAACCTGGAATTGCTCCTTGACGTTGCCAGTGCCGCTTGATCCGGATCCCACAGGTTTGCACTGCTTTGACTCAGCAGCAGCCTTACCGATCTCACTCGCTTTTTTCTGCGTCTGAGCATCTGAGGAACACCAGCCATTTGTCGGAGGAGATTCTTTTCAAGGTGCTCGTCTTAATTCTTCCGACTGGTAACACTTGAAGTCGTCCTGGTGTTGACCTACAGGCACATAATTGCTCAATACATCCTTGCGTTCAGACAGAATCGTGCGAACTTCCTGGGAGCTATTTTGGAATTGTGCAAAAAGTCTTGCTGCGACAACGGTTGGCGCTACCTGGAGCATTGCTGGAGTTACAAGCAACTGGAAGCGCAACAGCAGCAGCAGCAAGCGCGGCAAGGGCGGCAGCAGCACCAGCATAAATAGAAGTAGCCACAGTGAAAACAACGCCAGCAATCACCACCACCGCCGCCACCAGTGGCACCGCCAGTACCAGCAACAACAACAACAGTAGTTAAAGAGCGTAAGTGTACACGAAGCGAGCCATGCAGAAACATCGTCTCCGGCATCAACAGCGTCAGCTTCAACGTGACCGTTGCATTGGTTAAACGAGTTTATAAAATTCTAAGGTTGCTCGTATGCTGATTCCTCCAAGACGGCTTCAATCGCACTGTTCCGGCTCCTAGCCTAGTTCCTCAGATACCCTTGAACACCCAACATGCAGGATCTCCAGCGGAGTGCCGGCGAAACAGCAATAACAAGACCATCTTCGAGATTGAAGGGTTCCAGAAATGTGATGTGGGTATTCGGGTCGTTGCAGAAAAATTGTATAATGCTATCGGTGACTGCACGCACCCACATACCGTTTGTTAACCACTGCTTCGTTGGTCGCACCATGCTAGAGATTCGGTGCTTGCAACATGCAGGTCTGGGATGAGGATCACATACGTGCGGCGCAGGGCAGCGACGACAGTTTGGGTTTGCTCCGGTGCCCCTTCAATCGCTTGTTGAGGGAAGGCGGCGAAGTTGACTTGAAGCAGAAGCTCGAGGACCGCAGGTTGGTTTTGTGGGAAAGTTCAGGGTGTACCTCCCTCCACTCGTGCATTACCCAGCAGCACAAGGAGACCAGCACTGGCGAGCTGCACGTGCAGATCCGCTTTGAGCCACACCGGTCGAGCGGTGGGTACCCAGGGAGCAGCCCATCCGGCACCATTGCGTGGGAGTTCTCAGCACCCACCTGAGATGACACACTTCTTCCATGCTGCTCTGGCTGTCTCCTGATCATCGTAAACGGATTATCTGAGGTGAGCAATGGATTCCAGAGCTTCGATGAGCCGTGCCAGCGAACCGTGGAGACCATGTACCAAGCTTTTCTACGAGGACACAAAGGTGTGCGACCGTACAAGGCTGCAGGCCTCTGTGAAAGTATTTCTAGTTCTCAAGATTGACTGTTCACAGGAGGGGCCAGGAATGTCTCTGTCACATCCGGCGGAGTTGAAGTCTTCCTCGATTTCGCAGAGATGAAGCAAGTTTCTCGAGGGGGTCGCACGAGGCAAATTCGACGGCGGGCAGGCTGACTTTCGCTCCGAACGTCACGAGATTGTACATAGTATAGGACATGGTGCGAGCCGAAGCATCGCTTGATGCACTTCTTGGGCCTTTTGCAAAAGCAAAGGTACGCGCAGTGGCAAAGTCAAACATAATGCCTCGAAAGTGGTCGGTTGTCTTGGCATTGCAATGTCGTGCTGCCCAAAGACGCCACGATTACTGATCATGTGTTACGTAGCTGGCTCAGTTTCATTAACAGAGCAATTTTTGAATTCAATCACGGATGTCTGCGATGAATCTACAATTCATCCAATCAGCCATTCTACAAAACAAGCCGGAATGCACCCACAGTGGCCGGCTGCGATATTTGCAGTAATGTGATGTTGGAGCGATGGCTGCTACAAAGTTGCTTCGGCATCCTTACCGTGGCCAGACTGGATGTTTGCTCAGTCCCAGACGATGCAAGTGCCAGTGCCTCAGAGACTGAAGGTTTCATTAGCAGGAGGTGAAGGCATTGCAATGGTTCCTTTCAGAGGGCTGGGAGCCTGTGCCGCGGTCAATCTTTCGATTTAGCAGGCAGAGTCGAAACTTCGATGACGGGCATCAGTAGCACAAGGGCTGAGAAGCAGAGCAGATCTCGCAGCCAGTCTTGCCCACATTTGCCCACGCAGACCAGCCAGTGCCCGAGAACCCCTGAACTTGCTGAGTCTTGCTGCATAGCAAAGCAATCACCAAATCCAAGCAGACTTTGCAGAAAGTAGACGTCGTGATTGCCGACTGCAAATTGTAAGTTGATCCTTTAGATGCTCTGGCCGCCAGAGAACCAGAGAGAACGCACCATTGGTGAGCTGCTGTCAAACTGTCGCATTAGTGTTTGTGCAGTACGAGACATCCGCTAGCCGCGCCTTAAGTATTGCCTGGATACTGCATACCTCCGTGTTCAACCAAGTCGGTGCTCTAATGACTTGGCTTTCATGGCCTTCTCATTTCTGGGACGAGTGGAGTCACCTCTTGTGAATCTTCATCCTGATCGCTCGCCTGGTAGGTCCTCACGAGTAAAGAGGTGGACCAACTGGACCTTCTGTCTTGGCAATCCCCGCGGTTGCTACCAGCAACCCCTGCCCGCAAGAAGCTGGCGAGTAAGCTCTTGCCTGCAACGAAGGCACGCGGGCCAAAACTAAAGCTGAGGGGTCCTTTGGGCGGCTTGTCAGGCACCCCGGTTTTTGTGCCAGCTCAGGCGATGTTGCAGACAAGCGAGACCGAGTTGCGGAGGCACCTTGCGGGGGCGGAGCGAACAGACGGAAGGAACTTCTCTGGCTCGGCTGTGCAGGGCTGGAACAGTTCTCAGCTGGGGACTGAGAGCTTCAGAGCCGGCTACACGCAGATCCTCTCGGGTCTCGAACTGTTTCTGCCTGCCGCGGCTGAAGTAGCAGCCATCATTGGCAAACAAACTGGGCTATCTTCTGTGTCTGTCAGCTCATACGCCCATCCCGTTCAGGGAGAGCCAATATGTGTGCATGCAGATGCTCATGACACCTTCATCTTGCAGATCCAGGGATGCCGCGTTTGGAAACATTGGCACGGGCCATCCCTCAAGGAGAGCCATTTGGTGAATCATCCACAAGAGCTGGGGCTAGGAAACTCCAGCTCCCGCTGCCTCAAGGACAGCTTGGGCTTTGCTTCCAGACGCCTGGAGCTCCGCACGGGATCCTTACTGCGCTTGCCCCGGGGCATCGCTCACCAGACCAGCAGTTGCGGTGAGGGCCAGGGCCCTTCTAGCCACTGGGCTATCATAGCGTCTCGCATCAGTGCAGCCAGCGTGTTACTGGATGTGGCCGGGTCCAGCCCAAAAACTGACGTCCATGGCCGGCTCCTTTCAGTTCTAGGAAAGGACACTGACCTCAGCAAGAGGCTATGGCAGGGACTGCCGGGCCTGCAGCTCACAAGCGAAAACGAAGTGGACATGATGAAGCATGTGGAGATCCTGGCAGATGGGCTGCTTGCGCTTCTAGACGAAGCCATACCAGGCCCTTGGCCCGCGCTGGACCGACGGTCTGTATCTACCCGGCTGAAGGAAGTCTTGCAGACACGTGCCTGCAGCAAGGCTCTGTGGTTCACGTAGGGTTGTTGTGTTTGCATCCGTTCGCTTCCAGCGTCCACTCCTGCGCCTTCTGAGGCATGGTCCCCCAGGCAGCGCGCTGGCTCCGCCCGTTGACTGCCGAACGGGTCCTCTCGGCCGCTTTCTTGTCAAAACTAGACGGATCGAGCTCTGAAAGCCGGAAGCACGGCAGCCCTTCGTGCTCTCCGTTTCCTGACCTACGTCTCGTAGCTGAATGCCCCCGTGTAGTGTGACCAGTCCGGGATGAGCAGGGACTCCTGTGCTTGCACGCAACATGCCACGGTCTGCAAGGACTCGTTGCGGTAAGCAGAGCATCCAAAAGATGTTTATACTGCCTTGCTGTAGGGGTTCGCATCTCTCACCAGAGCTGCCACAAGTAGGTTCTCAGAGTCATAGCATCGGCTCGAGCAGGGGTCTGAGTTGCTGGGGCCGCATTATTGGAGAATGTTGGCCTGCTGCCTATCGAGACCTTGCGGCGCCGCAGCACTTGCGTAAAGGGCAGCATGCCCGCACGGCCTGTAGCCAGAGCACATGAGCAGCTCTGGGTCCCGCAAAACTGCCGCCGGCTGATTAGACCACACTCAGCTCCCGCGCTCACGGCCAAAACTGTCACACATGAACCGCTCGATGGTCTTGCCACGAAGACATTGCAGAAGACCACCCGGAAGCTTAACCTCGAAGTACAAAGTACATCGAGCACTTCCGCCCTAGGCTCAGAAGCGCTGGACAAGACCAAGTACCCCAGCAGAGGTGCGCATCGACGCGTTTCTATGCAACCTACGGCCATGGCAGGCAGGACGATGCATCCCGCTATGTTCGACAAGACACGAGTGGAGACAGCCAAGTCTATTAGCAGAAGGCAATCGGCCGAGCGCTTTGACACGAAATGGCGCGCATGTGGAACGTATGCTCACCTTGCCCACAGCACGTCAACTCTTACAGAGAAGGAGCGTGTGGAGCACATCCGCGGCATGCTCAAGGAGAAATACAGCAGGCAAGGCAGCTCGAATCTTTATCACGCCTACCGCAAAATGGCGCACTACTCGAATGCGGTGGATCCACATTCCAAGTGCGTTTATCCTCAGCACTTCGCCCACTTTCTGGGAGATCTTGGTGTGTCTGTGACAGCGAAAGAAGCTTGTCAGCTCTTGTCAAAAGAGCCAACGGCCGCCAACTTGGCAAAGCCATTTGGTGCTGCAACGCTTTATGCCATGGTTGCGAAAGACCAGGCGAAGTAGGTCTCACTGTAGCGCGCACAGCGCTGGACATCCGTCTTGAATCTGACTAATCCTGACAGGTTCCGCGGAGCAAGCAACTGCAGGTTTGCCATCCTGCCTCAAAGCAGCACTAGCAAACACGAAGATAGACTTGGGGGTTGGCACCTTGCCCGTGCACCGGGATTCTTCACAAAGTTCACGAGATTTCACGAGTAGGGGTCCAGCCGGGCTATTGCGCGCTAGTTGGACTTAAGTTTGATAAGTGTGCGGGGGCAAGTCTGATATTCAGGCGTATTCGTGATCAGGTGGCGGAACACAAGCAATCTTTCATTATCGGTTAGCTATTGGGCATCTATCGATGAAAATGTTAGAACTTCTTGGTTTTTTGCCGATCAGAACTATTAGGAAGATATTTGAATCTGGCCCTCCTAAAAGAATCGCGGGCAAATAGTATCTCTCTCTCTCGCTCTTTTTCTTTCTCTATATCTTTTCATAATCGTTGACATAACCTACGACTATAATCTTGATATTGCGAAATATTTTGAGGATTTGCGGTGTATGCTCTGCTTTAGGCTTAGAGCCTGCAGTTAGGTGGGGTTTAGGGTTGAGTATAGCATTTTAAATACAAGTTAACGTAAAATAGGGG